CCCCATTTTTTAAAAAACCCCCCCCCCCCCCCCCCCTTTGAAACAGCTGCCTACAGTCCTACAGTATCAGTATTGTATTTAAAGGGACAGCATATGGGATCTTGATAAAAATTTTACATTTAATGAATTTCCTGGCAATGGCAGCCTACGAAATTTTGTAGTGATTACCAATCACCACCCTTCTGAGTTACAAGTTGAAATATGCTTTCACATTTGTGAGACCATTTTTTCTTTACTTGGTGCAATCCAGGTACACAGATAAAAGCATTCCCTATTTATATTTTGCATAAATGTGCAAACAATTCCATACATGAAAAGGATATAAGGTTTTCCTGGGCATTTGGAAAAAGCTATCTCAAAGAGAAAATAGGAAGATTTCGGACAATCCCATATGTCATTCCTCTACAAAACTTATATTTTAAAAATAATGTAATATAAGCAAATCTCTACACCTACAAGTTATAAGCAAACCTCTACACCTACAAGTTAACTTCAAAGAGTAATTGCAGCAAATATACTAAAATGATATACTACTATTCACCATTTACATTTTGAACAAAGAAAAGCTATTATGTATAAGTAATCAATTTTCTGTAACTCTCAAGTTGCATTGTTTGGTTCAATATCATATACTAAATCCTAAAATGGACAAGATTCAAACTTTGACTAGTTATAAGGAAATTGGAACAGACTAATAAATCTAATGCTTATCTGTAGAAGTGTTATCTACAGGTAAGCACTATAGACAATGAATTGAGTTGAACAGTTAAAGAATGGGGGAGGGGGGGCATGACCTCCTTTGCATCTTTGATTTTTACATGCAAACATAACGAGCAGAGCTTGGACAAAAATTAATACATAAATTTTGCACTTGCAACCTCCTCCCCTCAGTAAAATCCAGAATCTACCTGCCAATAGTACAACCACATCTTTTAATATGTCACTTTCTCATAAAGGACCTCCATAAAAACCTTATCTGCAAGTTTATACCAATTGAACATAACTTAAAGGTATGCTGAAAATAGTTCAATTAAAAAATAAAAGCAGCTATTGCATTTATAAGGTAACAATTATACTATGTCACATGATTATTCAAGGATGGATTCTTTTTTTACGAGAATTGTAAAGATTAAGTCTTGAAGAATCAAAATGAAAAGTACCAAACATGTTTCACAAATAGCTCACATCCTTCACATGTAATGTAATTAAGGCAGTTAGATCAATTATGACACATTTCAAGCACAGAAAGATGGCAAACACATGAACTTAATACTCCGACCACACTCGCAGGAATAAAGCATTATATTCGTTCAAGCATTACATGCCTACCACATGTACCACTCGAAACAGAACACAAATACTTAGAAGGGAGAGGAACAACTTACCATAAAACCTGAGAAACTATCAATATACAGGAAAGAAATGCCACCTACATCATATACAAAGGTGAAGATATTCTCCCAATTTTACTTAAGGTTTTCATGTATTGGGTCAATTGAAATGTCACTGACAAAGGTGATGATACATAATGGAAACATGTTTGGTATAATTCAAAATTTATATTCCTCTGTAAAAACTAAAACTTAACACTGTATATTGAGATAATATAAGGTAAATTATATCACAATATGGATTGCAAGCTGGAACATTAAAATGGCACCATACTTAAGTAAATAAAGAGAAAAAATATTAAGACTTTACACTGTCTGTTAAAATAACAGCATCTGAAATTTTCATAGAATCTCAACTACTGTTCAGATATTCAGTATCTAAAGCATGTTTGTATATTGATGTACTTTTTGGCATATAAATTTCTGTTGCATCAAATGGTATTGTTAACTATAAAGCACTGATATAAAACCATGCTATTGGGAATCAAAACTAAAATAAAGGGTAAAATAAGGTGAATAGTGGGTAGCTGAGCAGCTTATTAAAAAACACTAGGCATAAATGTCTCATCAAACACTATAAAGTGATCAAGGACATTATAACACCTAAATCTGTATTAATCTGAACCTGTCAAACATTTTGGAGCAGATTTTTATGATCATCCATTTATTCTAGTGATGAGATTTTAAAGATCATACTTATACTCCTCATTGTTGGAAATTTCAGAGCAAATTTCTTGTCAATGTATGTAGTACAGGTGATTTTACTCCACTACTGATTTAATATAAATAGAGGCATGTCATCATTGCATTGGTACCTGTAGTTTAGTTGCACTGGTCAAAGAAATTTGCTCATCTTAAACAAATTCTTTTATTTTTTCACAAAACCTGACAGAGTGTGTGACAGCCATTTTACTTCCCTTTGATAATTTCAGGCACTTTTTCACTGTCTCTCTTTTTATGCTGTCAATGAATCTCAAGAATTTACAAAACACATATCTTAGCTGCTTTCACTTTCAGTCAATAAAAACCGTTTATACTCCTCAGCCAGCCATGTCCTGATGCTGAATTTCCATGAATCCTAGTTTTAGCTGTCAACTTTTTCAGGATGTGAACACTGCATGAAACATGCCTCATAGTTAGGCAACCTGCGAAATCCCAATTTCTCATGCAGCTGTTGTGATACTACATTGTCTGTCTCTATGTAACAGTAAGGTGTCCGTCCATTTTTCAAAGTGTTCCTGTGCCAACTGCGAAAGCACACATTTGCCATGTCCTTTCCCCCGACACTCTGGCAGTACATAAAGTGCGCCCACAGGTCCGTAACAGTATGTGCACACATATGCAACACATTGCCCTGTAGACGTAAACAGAGCAGCTGACAGATAGTCTTGAATGGCTACAGAGAGGAATTTGGACTGCTTGGGCAAGTAGGAGTTGAACTTCCATTCATTCTCCATAGCATCTATGTGTTCCATAGTCAGATGGCCCAACCTCATTCCTTCTGGTGGTGGTCTAAAAATAAGTTTGTAATGTTTTGAATTATTTTATTAATTTATTATTTTCATTTTGACTGTATATCAACAGAGGGACCCGTATATTAAGGTTAATGTCTATTCTGTAGTTGTGTACAATCGAAGTGAAGTGTATGGGTCAAAAGCAGTGGGGAATGCAGGAATTACCTAGAGAGAAAGAGACTGTGTTACCACTGTAATGTGCTACATGTACATATTTTAATAAGCAATCTGTTCCTAAAACTGCTACAAATTTAGCATATGAATTTCAATTGAAAAGATTTAAGGTACTTACAGTATGACTAGATCCTCCTTCTCCAAGACATAAATATAGGTTCTTGCAATAAGTTCTACTTTGTACCCATGCTGTTGTGCTAGCCCTGTCAAAGGCCCATAAAGACTAGAGGGAGCAGCTGAAAAGCAAAGAAATAATCAGTATAATCAAAACAAAATCATTTTTGCTATAAGACCCAATCTTTTTTAATAGGGCCTCAGAGGCAAGAAATGATCTTATTAGAACTAATGATAATCTTTGTGTAAGAAAAAGTGAGCAAAAGCTGTTTTATGTACAGACCAGTAACTAAACTATGTTAGTTTATGCACTTTGAAATAATCCTGTAAAATAACAAAAATTCTAACACTGAAAATAGAAGGGGAAAACCAGCAAATCACATGCAAAAGAAGAATTAACATACACCTGCACAAAAAGCCACTACCAGTATGGTAGTTGGTATATCATGATCATTATACATTTCATCCTTACTTTAGTTTTATATATTGTTGTAACAAGTGTGAAGCAAAAAATAAATGAATCAATAAGTAAATAGAACAAATGTCTCCATTTTAGCCAAGTTACAAGTTAATCAAATACAATAATCAATGTAAGTTAATGAATATAAAACATTGACTCTGGCTTCAATTTTTGAGGTAACATATAAGTGCTGGTCGCTTGTGATGGCTCTACGTACAGATAAAAGCGTCTGTACATAAAAAGGGAAAACATTTAACAAGTACATGCCAAACAAGTTATCATAGGGTTTGGTTTGTACATGATATAAAAATATTATGCATTCATAATATTTAAGGAAGAGTGTAAATTCACCTCTGAAGTAGGGGGGAAACTTCCAATCAATTACACCACCTTTATGCAGAAATTTGGTGGCTGCATCTTCTGAGCCTGGTTTGTGGTAGATGAAGTACACGCTGGATACATGGTCTTCAACCTGAACCCACAAACAACTTTAAACAACACACTGCAATAGAGCTCTAATCTAATAAAGTGTTCTAATTTGCGTCTACTTACCATTGGTCGTTAAAATAAAAATAAAATTACACACATGGGTTAACATGGGAAGAAAGAATGCTAAAATCAACCCTCACAAAGTAAGTAATTAGCAAATAATAAATCTTTGTGTGAAACAGATGGTTTTAAATAGGCCAGATTCATCCTATCTATTTGGCCTTAGTTGCCCCCACCCCCATTTAGCCACCATAGTTCTCTTTACCTTCCAGTTTGATAAATATATTTGTTTACCAGCTTTAGAAAAGAACTGCCAAGAATTTTGTTGCCCAAATATACTGTCTCAGCATTTTAGTCAGCTTTATCAGATAGTGTAAATATGTAACTGGACAAAATCTGTGGAAAAATGGTCAACAACTTACAAGTAACATGCATTTTCCTTCAATGTTGAAGGGTAAACATTAATATTAAAACACTAATATAGTTGTAACTCTTGATTCTTTAAAAAAAAAAAAGACCTTTACAAAAATAAAGCACAAAAATCAGAGTATTCAGTGTAACATCCTTTGGCTGATTTAAAAGGTCAAAAGTATACTTTACCTGTTTAGCAGAATCTTCAGGCGATGCCACAACAACCTCAAAATTTGGCCATCTATCCAGTAAAATATCGAAGCTGTACTCTTTATTCAGAATTCCCTTCAGTATATTGCACATCTGAAAATAATGAAAGAGAAAGTTACAAAAATGCACGTGGCAAACTTATCGGTGTGCCATGCAAAAAAAATCACTTTAGATAAATAAACAAATTCATAACAAATAGATTTGGCAATTTTAATTAACTCTTTATTCAATATTTCCTACAGTGCACATCTGAAAAATTAAAAGCTAAAGGCTAGAAAGATGCACCTGACACATTTAGCGGTATGCCATACAAAATAAATGAATAAATAAATTACACACAGATCCATATCAACAAACAGATTTTACATTCATCTTCACAGATTTTAAAAAATAATGAGAAAACTGAAGCCTGATTGTTAAGTAATTATGCTTGTGAATAGTTTCTCTTCAACTGTTTGGCTTGGTCATATATCATCATAAAATGGGTGATGGAGAAAAAGGAATGCAACAATTAAGTCACTGATTTATATGTTTGCATCATGCATATATATATCATATAATCATGAGAGACTATAATAAATTTCATAATATTTACAATAAATATTATATATAAATGGGTACAACTGTACATAATTTTCAATTCAGCTAGCCAGCTATTCATCAACAGAAATGAAAAGAAATATATTTATGATGCCAATACTAAATGTAATGATAAAATATACTGAAAGACTTTTTACTGTTTTGTAGACACTATGAAGTGCAATTTTTAATTCAAATCAAGATGTCTAAATATTGCACATGTACATTTTGCACTTGCATTTAGGCCTTTCCTTTTTAGAAATGATTTTTGCTTCTTTCTAACTCTTTGTCATAATTACTTCCAAATTTTTGGTTCAAGTCAAGTAGACTTTTCCAATATAAATCATTTTACAAAAATATCATATTCTTAAATGGGATAGAAAGAAGTGAATCTCTCTCTCTCTCTCTCTCTCACACACACACACACACACACACACACACACACACACACACACACACACACACACACACATTATCAACTTATGGCAAATCTATTCCAAATTAATGTAAATTGCAGCTTTTCCTTAATTAATTTATAACCTACCATAATAGGAAAGGAGTTGTTAAAAAACACAATGATATTCATTTGTCAAATTATGAACATGAATATTTCACAAGGACTTCACGTGATCAGCAACATTCTCACATGTATATCATATGTGAACTGACATGCCACTTGCTCTTAGTAAAGAGGGCATATGTTTATAAGTTAAGAAGGGAGAGGAATTGTCTGCACTTGGAGCAACCCAGTACATATTTTGTTTTGAACATCAAAATATTAGATCCTCACTTTTCTAGGAAATTGTAACTTTGAGAAACATAAGAAACACATTTTTCTTTTATATGTGTTACAGTGTTAGCGAGAAAAAAAATCTTAAGTGCATGCACTGGCTACAACACCAATTAGGGCAATGTCGTCTGCCATGACAGACAAGAGTAATGTCACATTGTCTGTCCATAAAAAATTTCTAAATTAATAAAAGAAAATAAAGAATGGCATATTAATGAGTTGAAACTGCTAAAGACATTCCCTGGATATATTTTTAAACAAGGCCTAAAAGATACTCGAGGATTACAACCAGAATTGGGTTCTCACATTGGAACCGGTTTAAAATCCAATGACGTAAACATTTTTTCGCAATCAGAATTAATATTTTAGTCTAGATCTATATTAATTGTCATCACAATATGTCGATTAGACTATGTGATGAATGTTGGGGTTACAAAACTGTTTTAGGAAAAAACACGGGTTGCATCATCCTTACCTTACATGACACTGATAGGGTGTGAGATCCATATATATATAACTTGCCCATTCAGCCATGTACGAGCATAAATACACTCAGACACGTTTTTCTTCATACCTAACATCTATTTTAATAATGCAGGTTACCTGTAAAGATCTTGGGTAGTCCTCTTGCAAAACTCGAATCAATTCATTGAAAGAATGGGAGCTAAGATGAAGCGGCATTGCACCAAGTTCTTTGTTTCACACTATATTAACTTAGATCTCAATAACTACCACTAAACAGAAAATATGCCCTTGAATAACCTCAGACACACTTGAAGGTCGTGTGGACTTTGTACTCCCTTGTTACTTGTTAACTTCCGGTTTCTGAATTTAGAAGGAGACTGTCGCGCGGAGTAAGCGCTGACTTTGAACAGAGATGATGTAATCAAATCGCCCATCTAAAATCATGTAAAGTGAAATGAAAATATTAAAAAAAAAACTTTTGTAGATGCATTAACATAATGATGACAAATAACAACATTAATGATGATAATTTTTATTCTAAAAATGGTCCTGATTTTTGTAATTTTGCAAAAAAAAAGTGGAAGTGATCAATTGAAAGTAATTAAGATGAATTGCACCGTTTTATTTTTATGTACAGACACAGATGTGTCTGTACATATTGCCATCACCTGCGTCTGTCGTTGCCGTCGCCGTCGCCGATGCCGGAGCCATGCACTTTCCTTGNTGAGTAAATAGAACAAATGTCTCCATTTTAGCCAAGTTACAAGTTAATCAAATACAATAATCAATGTAAGTTAATGAATATAAAACATTGACTCTGACTTCAATTTTTGAGGTAATATATAAATGCTGGTCGCTTGTGATGGCTCTACGTACAGATAACAGTGTCTGTACATAAAAAGGGAAAACATTTAACAAGTACATGCCAAACAAGTTATCGTAGGGTTTGGTTTGTACATGATATAAAAATATTATGCATTCATAATATTTAAGAAGGAGTGTAAATTCACCTCTGAAGTAGGGGGGAAACTTCCAATCAATTACACCACCTTTATGCAGAAATTTGGTGGCTGCATCTTCTGAGCCTGGTTTGTGGTAGATGAAGTACACGCTGGATACATGGTCTTCAACCTGAACCCACAAACAACTTTAAACAACACACTGCAATAGAGCTCTAATCTAATAAAGTATTCCAATTTGTGTCTACTTACCACCGGTCATTAAAATAAAAATAAAATTACACACATGGGTTAACATGGGAAGAAAGAATGCTAAAATCAACCGTCACAAAGTAAGTAATTAGCAAATAATAAATCTTTGTGTGAAACAGATGGTTTTAAATAGGTCAGATTCATCCTATCTATTTGGCCTTAGTTGCCCCCACCCCCATTTAGCCACCATAGTTCTCTTTACCTTCCAGTTTGATAAATATATTTGTTTACCAGCTTTAGAAAAGTACTGCCAAGAATTTTGTTGCCCAAATCATTTTTGTCTCAGCATTTTAGTCAGCTTTATCAGATAGTGTAAATATGTAACTGGACAAAATCTGTGGAAAAATGGTCAACAACTTACAAGTAACATGCATTTTCCTTCAATGTTGAAGGGTAAACATTAATATTAAAACACTAATATAGTTGTAACTCTTGATTCTTTACAAAAAAAAAAAAAAAAAAAAAAAAAAAAAAAAAAAAAAAAAAAAAAAAAAAAAAGACCTCAATCTTTTACAAAAATAAAGCACAAAAATCAGAGTATTCAGTGTAACATCCTTTGGCTGATTTAAAAGGTCAAAAGTATACTTTACCTGTTTAGCAGAATCTTCAGGCGATGCCACAACAACCTCAAAATTTGGCCATCTATCCAGTAAAATATCGAAGCTGTACTCTTTATTCAGAATTCCCTTCAGTATATTGCACATCTGAAAATAAAAAAAGAGAAAGTTACAAAAATGCACGTGGCAAACTTATCGGTGTGCCATGCAAAAAAATCACTTTAGATAAATTGACAAATTCATAACAAATAGATTTGGCAATTTTAATTAACTCTTTATTCAATATTTCCTACAGTGCACATCTGAAAAATTAAAAGCTAAAGGCTAGAAAGATGCACCTGACACATTTAGCGGTATGCCATACAAAATAAATGAATAAATAAATCACACACAGATCCATATCAACAAACAGATTTTACATTCATCTTCACAGATTTTAAAAAATAATGAGAAAGCTGAAGTATCAAAGTCTGATTGTTAAGTAATTATGCCTGTGAATAGTTTCTCTTCAACTGTTTGGCTTGGTCATATATCATCATAAAATGGGTGATGGAGAAAAAAGAATGCAACAATTAAGTCAATGATTTATATGTTTGCATCATGCATATATATATATCATATAATCATGAGAGACTATAATAAATTTCATAATATTTACAATAAGTATTATATCAAAATGGGTACAACTGTACATAATTTTCAATTCAGCTAGCCAGCTATTCATCAACAGAAATGCAAAGAAATATATTTATGATGCCAATACTAAATGTAATGATAAAATACACTGAAAGACTTTTTACTGTTTTGTAGACACTATGAAGTGCAATTTTTAATTCAAATCAAGATGTCTAAATATTGCACATGTACATTTTGCACTTGCATTTAGGCCTTTACTTTTTATAAATGATTTTTGCTTCATTCAAACTCTTTGTCATAATTACTTCCAAATTTTTGGTCCAAGTCAAGTAGATTTTTCCAATATAAATCATTTTACAAAAATATCATATTCTTAAATGGCATAGAAAGAAGTGAATCTCTCTCTCTCACACACACACACACACACATTATCAACTTATGGCAAATCTATTCCAAATTAATGTAAATTCCAGCTTTTCTTAAATTAATTCATAACCTACCGTAATTGGAAAGGAGTTGTTAAAAAACACAATGATATTCATTTGTCAAATTATGAACATGAATATTTCACAAGGACTTCACGTGATCAGCAACATTCTCACATGTATATCATATGTGAACTGACATGCCACTTGCTCTTAAGTAAAGAGGGCATATGTTTATAAGTTAAGAAGGGAGAGGAATTGTCTGCACTTGGAGCAACCCAGTACATATTTTGTTTTGAACATCAAAATATTAGATCCTCACTTTTCTAGGAAATTGTAAAATTTGAGAATCGTAAGAAACACATTTTTCTTTTATATGTACGTGTTACAGTGTTAGCGAGAAAAAAATCTTACTGGCTACAACACCAATTAGGGCAATGTCGTCTGCCATGACAGACAAGAGTAATGTCATTGTCTGTCCATAAAAAATTCTAAATTAATAAAAGAAAATAAAGATGGGCATATTAATGAGTTGAAACTGCTAAAGACATTCCCTAGATATATTTTTAAACGAGGCCTAAAAGATACTCGAGGATTACAACAAGAATTGGGTTCTCACATTGGAACCGGTTTAAAATCCAATGACGTAAACATTTTTTCGCAATCAGAATTAATATTTTAGTCTAGATCTATATTGTCATCACAATATGTCGATTAGACTATGTGATGAATGTTGGGGTTACAAAACTGTTTTAGGAAAAAACACGGGTTGCATCATCCTTACCTTACATGCCACTGATAGGGTGTGAGATCCATATATATATATAACTTGCCAATTCAGCCATGTACGAGTATAAATACACTCAGACACGTTTTTCTTCATACCTAACATCTATTTTAATAATGCAGGTTACCTGTAAAGATCTTGGGTAGTCCTCTTGCAAAACTCGAATCAATTCATTGAAAGAATGGGAGCTAAGATGAAGCGGCATTGCACCAAGTTCTTTGTTTCACACTATATTAACTTAGATCTCAATAACTACCACTAAACAGACAATATGCCCTTGAATAACCTCAAACACACTTGAAGGTCGTGTGGACTTTGTACTCCCTTGTTACTTGTTAACTTCCGGTTTCTGAATTAAGAAGGAGACTGTCGCGCGGAGTAAGCGCTAACTTTGAACAGAGATGATGTAATCAAATCGCCCACTAAAATCATGTAGACTAAAGTGAAATGAAAATATTAAAAAAAAAAAAACTTTTGTAGATGCATTAACATAATGATGACAAATAACAACATTAATGATAATTTTTATTCTAAAAAATGGTCCTGATTTTTGTAATTTTGCAAAAAAAAAAAAAAAAAAAAAAAAAAAGTGGAAGTGATCAATTGAAAGTAATTAAGATGAATTGCACCGTTTTATTATTTCATTTTAAAGTTTAGTATTGATTCAAAACTGAAGTATACCCACTGTACTCCAACACAAGTACTTGTGCAAGTATACCATCAAGAATAATATTACCTTTGTTATTGTAATGCATTCTTGATACCATATCTTTACCCAGTATATGCTAGTTAACTCAAATATACAGTAACTGGTACATGTTCCAATTAAAAAGAGTGCAAGATGAAGTTTTGATTTTTTTAAATGAGATAAGTATAAGAATGGTCAAGAATATCACAAAACTCAAATAACGTTAACTAAAGATATAATATATTATTATTGGCTCTTTCAGCATGCAAGAATAATTGATTCACAGTCAAATTATATACATATATTACTGTGGTTAAATTGAATCTTTATGAAATTATAGAATTTGTGCAAAAAAATGAAAATCACATACAAATGTTTTCCTTCCATTACTTCTTAAAAGACATTAGACATCAGAAGTAATACATATCTTATTTCAAAAACAATCTTGATAAGACAATCAACACCGATCACCAGCTCCAATATCATCACTAGCTGAAATTTTTATTATAATAATTATATGACATAACATCAGAACTAGTTAAGATGGAAAATAAACTTTTATTCAAACTGGAAGTGTATATACATGCAGCATACTTGCACTTATAATTAACTAAAATATATTGTAATTACTACAAGTGAATATCATAAAACTGTAAAAAAAAATCACCAAAAATTAACACTTTAAGTTGGTAAGTATTTTTAGGCCTGAAACTCCTGAAGAACTGGTATCAACAGGTACACTGAGCATCATCACCTGCCCCAATATTATATATTACCTGATATTCTAATTATCATAATGATATAGTATCACATCAGAAATAAGTAAGACAGAAAATTAACTTCAGTTTATCAACAAAAGACTAGTGCGCTTAACATGATTACAAAGTATTTCACTTAGTCTATTTATTGTCAGCCCAAGTTTGTTATGTTAATGTGGACAGTATCTAACATAAAACTAACACAACTATAAAATTATTGTGNATGATATAGTATCACATCAGAAATAAGTAAGACAGAAAATTAACTTCAGTTTATCAACAAAAGACTAGTGCGCTTAACATGATTACAAAGTATTTCACTTAGTCTATTTATTGTCAGCCCAAGTTTGTTATGTTAATGTGGACAGTATCTAACATAAAACTAACACAACTATAAAATTATTGTGTATATATATATATAATTTTTATTAACATATGAAGAATTGTGAATTATTAATGTAAGTTTTACTGTGAGAAGAATGAAAAAACACGATTAGTATACCTATGATTATAATAAATCATATGATTTCATAGCCTTCTTTTTTTTGAGTGGGTGGAGGTATTCTAGCACCAATTATCCTATTAATACAGATTATAGTGAACACCAAAAGCCTTATTTGTTTTCTCTGTTTATCTCTCTGTATTCTGGATGGGCTTTTTCTTACATGAGCAATCTTTGTACTCAGAAAAATTCAGTTTGATCCTTGTTATGTTTTCACCCCTGTTTGTCTGTCTGTCTGTTTGTTCGTCTGTCATCAACATAACTCAAAAAGTTATGGACTGATTTTGATGAAATGTTCAGGGTAGGTCAGAAATGGGTTAACTTAAAAGTGATTAGTTTTTGGTGGTGATCCGGATCAATAATCAATAATAATCAAAATTGCTGCCTTGAAGGAGGTCTGAGCTCTCAGAGTGCTTTTCTAGTTTTAAAGTTATCTGGAATTTGTTGTTATACTTGAGGTGGTGATCGAAAAGCTGTCATTTTGTCTCATATTTTTGAAACTTGCATTCTATATAATCATGTTTCTCCCACTGGAATGTACATCATGATACATCATACATCATATTTTTTATGAATTACTGTTCAAAGAGGAACAAAACACTGATTTTTCTGAGTTATGCATATATGCGGTTCTGGGCCTTTTTAGTTAGTGAGAAATGAACCACATGTATACATGTGCATGGTGACAGTCTCCATGGGGTTAAGGGATTTTTGGTTGTCCCAAATTTTTACAGAGTAATCATGGTGAATGTCAGAAAGGGGGATCAAAGGTTGGTTTGTTGGTAAATTACAGTTACTATGATACTGTTTAAACCAGGAAATTTGTTCAGTATAAGTTTTTCAACAGAAAATCTTATGCTGGGCACCCTTAATTGTGACAAGTATTACATTGCAAACGCAGAAACTTATGAAGATAAATGTTTCATCATACTAATGTCACTTATTTCAGTTAATGGCATGGGAATAAGTTCTCATGTATTTTGCTTATCTTTTATATATTTATTACTATCATTATATATATATTTATGATTTAACATCGTACCTTTTTAATCATACTTCCTATGAAAAGGTGAACATCAATAAAACCATTCAATCAGTATATTTCCCAGAAATCAGTGATCCTTACTAATTCATGATTGCAACTTTAGTCTTCCAATATATGGTAAATAATATGATCCAAAATAAAGGACACCATTGTCATCTTCTACCTCACTGACATTAGGCACATCTTCTCCAGACGGATCGTGCAGGCTGCGTATTATGTTTCCAGAAGCATCCAGTTCGATCAACAATCCATATTTAGGTATCATCTTAAGCAGAAATTCTTGACTGAAAACCTATTTCAAAGATACAAAGATACAAGATTAAAGAGTTATTACAGGGATAAAACTTTTAGCCTCCCAAAAATCTGCCAATAATCGGAAAAATCTCATCCTTGTCCAACAACATGCACACAATAACACAAATTTAAACAGTACAAATGACTGAAGGCACTTGCAAGTTAATTAAGTAACTGCAATTATTTTTTAAAACAGAAGGAAAGTTAATTGAGATATGGCCACTTGCAAAAAAAAAACAAGGCAGCAAAGCTGTCAAATGTACAGACAAAAAGCAGACAATAACAATGCACAAAACAGGCTACTGTCAATTCTGATGCAAAAGTACATTATGTTAAACTGCAAATTCAACATCAAATTTTAATTATGCTCAACAGGTAANTAATTTAATATAATAAAATAAAAAATATAATATATTAAATTTTTAAAAAAATCAAATTCTTTTTTTCTGACACTTACTTCTGGTGTATGCATTAAGTTTTTGATTAATTATGGAACATAGCAAAGATAACATTTAATTCCATTCAAGTCACAGAACAAAGAGTTGACAAAGACAGAATTTTCACACAATAATGTATTTATACTGTACTGGAGTATTTTGCATGTACAAAGCTCTGCAATAAGGATGAAGTCTTTCTCTGGGGACAGCTGTACTCCATTTGGAAAACTCATATTTTTCAAAATTACTTCTGTCTGTTTTGTATTGGGGTTGTATGCCAGTAACCTGTGCAGAGAGAAAAATACACAAACATTCACTATGCATACTTACATACATCCCAAATAAAAACAAATGCACAGTAGTTTTTCTTTATACAAAAGAGGTCGAACTGCTTGTTTATACGCATATCAACTCATGTAAAAACAACTTTAATTGAATGTAATAAATGCCCCCTCTTTATCTCTTCCTATTAATCTTGGACATAATAATAAATTTTGTCCATGTATTAATCAAGTGAAAGCTAATTTGACAAGCCTTCATTAAAAATCTTTATGCCCCTATAGCATTATAATTGAACCATTCCTATTCAGCATGGTTGCTTTTTCAGTAGACCAGTGTCATAAATAAATTTCAAGTTATGTTTTTGCATATGACCTTCCATTTTTTTTGGCTTCCATAGCAGCATATCTATTATATCTTCGGCCCCAGTTAGTGCTTGAATCTGTGAAATAGACTGTCCCATCTGAATCAATGTCAAGATCATTTAGAAATGCTGCTTGTTCTCCATCTACTAAAGTCTCAGGCGAGTAAAGCTGCACAAATTTACCTGCAAACCAAAATTCCACATCTCACATAGTTTAAGACATTTAAAAAAATCAAGAAAGCTTCCTAATGGGCACACAGATAAATGGCAATAGTAAAGGAAGCACTGACATGAAAAAAGTCTAAAAAAGTTAATGAAGAAGCAATTACACAAATGGAAGTACACAAAATGGTTTGAATCAATTAATGTTGATGCAATGTAACATACAAGTACATAATGCTTAACAGCAGGATGATCACCAGTTTTTAATAATGATAAATGTGCTTCAGTTACAGTGCAGTACGCACATGGCTAGAGACAATGTGTGATAAATGAAAAAATAAGTTTCAGAATAAAAAGAAACATATTTTTCCTTTTATAAAAACAGTGACAGAAGCGGAACACTTACAGTGACAAGGCACACAAGTGATGGCTATTATTCCAGAAAACATGCATGAAATGAACCTACACCCAGTGACTACATTTTGTGACTACCATAGTAGGCGCTTACCTGTTTCAACATTGACTCGAAATAAACCTAGGTAAGCATCCACAACAACAAGACTCCCATCTTTATCAAACCTCATACCCAGTGGTCTTCCACAAGTTGGTTCATCATCAAACTTACCTATCAACATATAAAATCAGGTTCATTTAAAAAAAGAATCACTCAAAAATTGTTTCCCATCACATACAGTAAAAACAGTATTAAATGTTTATCACTGACAAATAAGCAAGGGCACTGAAGAGAATAAAGAACAGTGCAAAACATTATATGTTACATGAACAGACATGCACAAATGGATGTCAAGAGCAAAAAGAACTTTAACAAAATGGAGGAAATGTAAACTGTTGGTTTATGTACATTTCAAATCTGAGAAATGCATGTTTTCAACAAAATGCAGCACTGCTTACAAAAACACACCATGAAAATATAATAGCAATCAGTAATGAAAATGCAAAATGTGCATGCCCTAAGCAGACTCATTTCTACAAATAACTTGGAAACTGTTAGCAATGGAGTAAAATAAGGCAAGGTTTGTACCTACCAGCAATATTGTTTTCAATTTATATTGATAATTTAAAAAAAATTCATACAGAAATTTAAAATGTTGGTAAAAAGTTTTGACCCAAATTAAATCTGAGTATCAAATTAATATTTATCTATAGCTATCTATCTTATAGACTTGATTAATTCTTATCAATTTTATTAATTTCAATTTCAGAGTTGCATGGATAATTTCCAGCACTCTATCCAAGTACATGGTTAACATGATTGCAATTTTTATCATAAAACGCCATTCTTACCACAGGGTGGCTTTCCAAGTGTGGCTACCACTCTGATGTCATCCCCATTAATTTCAAGAATCTTTCCATCTGCAGTTCCTGTGAACAGTTTCCCTGTTAAAAATATGACAGTATACACAAGAAATTAACATACAGGTTCCCATAAAATGTGAATCTTTTTTTTTAAATCAGTCTTTTATTCTTTTTAAATAGAAAAATTCCCTGAGAAGGAAGGAAATATTTATCCCTAATGAATATTAGAAACTTATTTTAGAGTGTAACAAACTTGTTACTTCCAATCTTAAGCACATGGAAAACATAATTTAATGATTGCCGCTGGATAAAAATGACGGTCCTTTAAATTTGTTTTAAACAGAAAAGAAAACCATCCAGTAGATTGTCATCAACTGATTTGGAATTTTTAAAATGCATTCCTGAATATTAAATCCAAACTCTCATATATACCATTGTGTACAGTAATAGACTCTGGACCATGGAGCCTATCAAGGAAAAGTTTATCAGCTTTGGCTAAGAGTTTGTTTTCAGCCAGAGGACCAATGAACTGAGGTGGCAATGGGAGGCTAATGTAAATAAATAAATAAATAAATAAATGAATAAATAAATATGATAATAATAAATTGCAATGACATTTGAAAAATAAAATAACCCAATATATAAATGAAAGACTATAACTGATGTTTACAGAATAGTTTCACATACCTAAATATATAAATTAATGACCTTTCAAGATTTTTTCAAGATATAGTATATATTTATCTGCATTGTACCAAAAATTAGACTTAAGTCTTTATAATTTGCAAATAAAAATTCATTTAACTTTTGTGAAGCTACATATTAATCCACCAGACTGAGTATATATGTACTGGACAAAGGAAATTTGGTGATCAGTTAACACAAAGTTGAGAAAGGTATCTTAATTCTTTAATACCTGTATTCAATAGGCTCTATAGGTGAAGGCAGCAAGCACAGTGTTGTCACACATGACAAACTAATAAATATTATGAGTAATCCTAAAGTGTGAGAGCTGAAATTGAAAAAAAAAATGAAAGTACTTTCACTTTCATAAAATATTTGCAATCCTGAATATATATATATATATATATATATATATATATATATATATATATATATATATATATATATATATATGAACATATTCTGGAGTTGATCAAATATGAGCAAAACACTAACATGTAGGGGCTATATTTACAACATTGTTAACTAGAGGATCAAGGAGGAGGATATTATACCACCAGCTAGAGTAAGCGCATTTGTATGGAAAACCAAAAAAAAAAGAAACGCTGCATTCACATCAAGAAGAGCCGAGGCTCTACAAAGCCGAGACCTAAATATGGCGGACGTACAGGGGCGGATTTAGGCCGTCTTCTGGGTCTTCCAGAAGACGGTCAGATTTTCAAGTTTACATTAAAAGGTATCTTATTTTTTCTGTTGGAAGACGGTCAAAATTGGAGGATAGATCAATAAAGATAATTTGGAAGACTGTCAGAAAATAGCTTTGGATCCGCTCCTGATGTACATGGTATATGAAAGAAAAAACGCCTAATCTTTTAATAGTCTCTCCGCCTCTCACACGCCTCCCCATGCGTCATCCCAATGGAGCCGAGATTTAATGACTATACCCCCGCAGGGACGATGCATGGGGAGGAGTATGAGAGGCAGAGAGACTATTAAAAGATTAGGCGGTTTTCCTTTCATGTTTGTCCGCCATATTTAGGTCTTAGCTTTGTAGAGCCTCGGCTCTTCTCGATGTGAACGTGGCCCTACAGTATTGGTTTTCCTTGAAAAGTGTAATCAGTGTTGCATAGTATGCTGACAAAAGAGAAAACACTGGGCATATCTATGCTAGTTTTGAAGATATGAGGGGCAAGAAAATATGTAAAGTTCAGTTCATGGTGAAAAAGTACAGTATGTCAAAGGTCAATTTCAATGTCAGTATATGCATGACTTCCTATTCAAGTTCAATAGTAACCATGGGCATTTCTTTGCCAATTTTGGAGATAAAGACCAGAAAACATGCAAGGTGCATTTCATCATAAAAAGTAGGTCAAAAGTCAATTTTAAGGTCACAGTTAGATTGCCAGTATATATATATATGGCTTTCTATTCAAGTTTCACAGTAAATTTGGGCATATATCTCTGCCAGTTTTTGAGATACAGTGTATAAGGGATAGAAAAATTTGCAAAGTTCAGTTCATGGTGAAAATGAGGTCAAAGGTCAATTTCAAGGTCACAGTTAGATTGCTTCCTAGTCAAGTTCAATGGTAACTATGGGTGTATCTTTGCCAGTTTTGGAGATATAAAGATCAGAAAACTTGAAAAGAGAAGTTCATAATGAAAAGTAGGTCAAAGGTCAATTTTAATGTCACATTTTATTTTCACCACTGAATATTGCAAAGTTGTACTTTTTTATATAGCTCAACGCCAGAACTGTATCGAAAACCAAAAAAGTGGACACCACCTCCAGTATTGCACTTGACAAGTTCTACAATATGCAAAAAACAAAAGGTTTCTAGCATTTACAGAACTACCAGAATTAGAGAGAGCTATAGTTTTCAGTTTCAGTATCTAATGGCTGCTTCTCCCATGAAAATGCACCGATTGACCCCAAACTCCCAGAGATGAAAGGAGTCCCTGATTGTAACCCCTCACCATAATATGAGAGCTTAGGTCTATGAAGATTCTGAAAATTGGTACAAATTTTCTTTTTTGCAGGAAATTCCCATTTTTAGAAAATTTTGGCCCGTTTGACCTTGAAATTAAGATCGAAAGTCAAATCTATAAGGGCATATTTGGAATCTCCACATACAACTTTCTGTCAGAATTCTGTAGTAATTTTTCCCCATAATTCCTTTGCTTTGGGAGATATTTAGCATTGAATTTTCAAAAATTTTGACAAGGGTGCATTTCAACGAGCGTCATGCCCAGGCCAATGCACCGACTGAGGCTGCAGGGAGCCATGTAAGAGGCGGATTGAGAGACCATTACAGGATTAAATGCTCTTCCTTTCATGTATAGGTACGCCATATTTACGTTGCGGCCTAGCTAGCACTCGGCTCTTCTTGATCTGAACGGGGCCATAGCTACATGTAGCTAATTACCCATTGTACATGTACTGAGTAGTTGTGTTACATAATATATATATATATATATATATATATATATATATATATATTACTTATTGGGAATGGTTCTCTCTTTCACACAACTGCTTTATCGCAGATCACAGATGTTTCATGTCAAGTCATATTAGATGTTTCATGTCAAGTCATATGGGCTTAGTTCATTACAGAAGAAATAAAATTGCGGAAACAACTTACAAGGAACGAGACGAAGCCTCATCTTTATTTGGCCCCGAAGATGAAACGGATTTATGGGTTGAAGTACTCCCTGAAGACGAAGGTACATGGCGTTTTCTTGTCTCCGGCATATTAATGCTACTCTCCTCTGTCTGCAGTAACTGTAGATCTATATCTGTCAAATTGACGAAGCGTGACGCTAAAATAATGGTAACCCTGTTGACACTCCACTGGCCACAGATAAGTTTGTCTAGATGGCATTATGTCATGCGTTTGACCTAGATTTTGTTTACATCAACCAGGCCTACTTTTCGAAGAACAGAGAAACTAGCGTGCTTCTGAGTTAAACAAAGAATGTTTATTTCACGTTAGAAAAAAATGGCAAAGTTTTTGATAGTTTTCAGCATACGCACGTACATCCCACCATAGAACTATGATCCCACCTTTATGAATTTGCCGGCTAAGACCTTGACCTCGATTCACATTGACCAATCAAATGAATTAAGGCGGGGGTTACGATGGAATCCTCATCTGCAGTCAGTGACTGAAAATTAATGTGAAGACTGATACCTATCCTTGATATATGTTACGTTTATTTGACGTAGGAAGTAGTGAGATTTTCTAAGATCAAGGGAAAGGTGGGTGTATGTAAGGTGATGTTTTTCTAGAGCGCCCCTCAGTCAGATGTTAGGGGACCTTGCAAAGTAGAAATACAGTGTAAGAAATAGAAATAAGAGGGAAATATAATAATAAGATGATGTACTTATCTGTGGCCAGTGGAGTGTCAACAGTCAAAAGTAGAGAATACAGATAGAAAATGGAGCAAAATCCAAGAAACGCATGGCGCAGATCGAGGGAAAAATGAATTTCATGCATTAATGCAGTTTGTACCATAAAATATTCAGCTTAGCCCCCCCCCCCAAAAAAAAAACTCAATTAGTTTGTGATCTACCCTAAATGAATGGCTTAATTTAATCCCCTTCTTTTTGCAAGCACAAAAATTGTGACCCACTGCTTCTTATAAGCCCCCCCCCCCCCCTTATGACAAGTATATAACTTAGTTCATATCATAAACCAAAAATAGCAACATTAATGCATGAATTTCATGCATTAATGCAGTTTGTACCATAAAATATTCAGCTTAGCCTTCCTGGCCATTTGGCCCATTCGGACCATTTAGTTGTGCTAGTTACAGTACAGTTTGGAACCAAATTGAAAGATGTAAATATTGAAAGCAGGACAGTGCATCACTAGTATTCACTACAATACTTGTTCTACATGTACATTTACAGTATGTATGGTGACAATGGAGAGCATCAAAATTTAATCAGAAAATTCAAGTGTAATTTTTTTTTCAGATTTTCAAACCAAGATGTGGCATGTAACTTAAAGAGTCTTGATAGGCCAGTATGGACAAAGAATACCTGGTAAGGTGGAAAAGTTGATAAGAAGGAATTCTCTGAACCTCTCAATGAATGTCAATGAATGTCATTGAGAGACCATTAAAGGATTACGCTGTCTTCCTTTCATGTAGGTCTGCCATATTTGGGTCTCAGCCTTGCTAGACATTGGCTCTTCTCGATGTGAATGCTCTCTAAATTGTTGAATCAACCTATGGTAAAGAAGATGGGGGTAGTTACATAAGAGTAGAAAGCTTGATTGTGTGAGTTTTCACAGTAACCTTTAAGGAGGGNTAGATCAATAAAGATAATTTGGAAGACTGTAAGAAAATAGCTCTGGGTCCGCCCCTGCAATCGGTGACCAATTTGGACTGACTGGGTCACAGTTTAGTTTGGCTACGGATTCTACACTGTTCATAATGTGGATGATAGTACATTGTATTGCTTGGCTAACTGAGCTTGCACTTAGGCCCTATGTAGTATTTGAGGTCACATTTGGCTTCACATGCGGAATCCATGGTTAAGACTAAGCACATATTTAAATGTCCATGTATATGGTTCCCGGGTTGATTGTTTTATAGTATAAAATGTACGGTTATACTCAATGGTATAGTATGCAGATAATATTTTTTGTGCGGAAAGTGATTTCCACGGGACATGAAATAAAGTGCCAACGATGCGTTTAACATGTTTGAGACAGGTTTTGCATTTTGATCTTTTCAAACATTCACAAGCAAGCGGTTAACAGTTTTGGTATGTACCAGTAGAAAAAATGCTGTAGATGTGAAAAGAGCAATGTGCTACGGTAAAAATGTATTTGTGACTTGGAGCACGGATATTTGTGAAGACAGCTTTTAACACAATATTGTCTGGTTTTCTATGAAATTGTTCTTAGTTCCAAGATCTTGAATTAAGTAAAGTTTTTGATGATGGGAATCACTTACTTTGGAGCAATTGAAACGGCTATACGTTTTATTCTTATCACAAGGGCACCTTCAGGCTGAATGTCATGAGGTGGTTGGCTGTTGGTGGACCCGTGACCGAACCTGGTTATAGATGGGATGGGGGGGGGGTAGCCAGTTCGTTTCCCTGGTCCCAATTCATGGTTGACAGATGTACATTGCTTCCTTGACCTTCCCCAGGTCAATCGCTGGTCTCTCTCTCTCTCTCTCTATAGAGAGTATCGCTCACAGGTCAACTAGCACACGATGACCTATGGGGATTCGACCTGAAGACATGCGTGTGGTAGGCATATGATAGCTGTTACAAATTTTTATTCAAAAGTAAGTGATTCTCATCACCGAAATCTTGATACTAAACATTGTCACAGAATGCAAGCATTTGGTATTACGTAGCTTACCTTGGGTATATTGTGCCATATTGATATTAGCTGGAAGTTGGTGGCTGAATATATCGTCACAACATCTAAGTTGTAAGGAAGGCCCTGTATAGCAAATAGCGTGTAGCATAGCGGACGGACCTGCTTAAAAATCGGTAATCGTTGCTTGTCAGGCCTGTAGCCAGCAGTTTCAAAAGAGGGGCTCTTTTCCTGAACCCCCCCTTCTACAGTTCAATGGCATTTTGTTATATACAACTATATATCCGGGACCAACAACATTAAGTCAATACCGCCTTTGGGTAATTCATTATCAACTCATCCAGCGAGGGTACCCTCCGTCAAGAAACTTGCTGATTTTCACATATTTTGTAGATATTATAGGGACTAGGGAAAACATAAAACTTTAGATTGATATCTCATCTGGTCTCAGAACTATGGCACTCCAAAGTTGGGCCCAGCTGAGGGTTTGCTGTGCCTCATATAAATCTACTGGTTGGCCATGGTGACCTAGTTAAGAAAAGCACAGTAACAATAGTTCTAAATATCCAATTCCTTTGTAACTTTCATGACTTCATATTTTAGAATTTCAGGAATCTAACTACCACATTGAAAATGGTCTGGCTTATTCAAAATGCGTTATATTTTTTACTTTGAAAAATTCTTGTCATATTTTCAAAATGAAGGAGACCCCACCCTTATTTCTAATTTTTCTCAATGTCTCCAAATGGACAGGTATTTTTGCTTTATCTCATTTAAAAGAGGAGGCTTTGAACTTATAAGTGAAGTGTTAAATCAATTTGTACATTTTGGAGACAAAAGTAATAATGCATTATAAAAATATGTGATATGGGCTATTGCATGATCACTGATGTAGAACAATGTACTATCAAACACCCAAATGTAGAAATTTCTAGATTAGTTTATCTAGTATTTTTCAGAATAAATTTCTTATGATGTTGTTATACAATAAGATATTATTTTTGATATGATATGAATGAAACTATCCTATACAGCTATTCTTTAATTATTTTAAATGTCCTACATAAAGCACAAAAAAAAAAAAAAAAAAAAACAAAAACAAAAAAAAAAAAAAAAAAAAAAAACACACTTGTTGACTCATAAGGAAATTGCACTTGCATTCAATGGCTCGCTATTTTTTTTTTACTTATTTGATTTTACTTCCCTTATTGCTTGCAATTAGTGAGGCTATCTGCCATGAAATTTACAACACTATTATCATTAGGATATTGCTATCAAATGAAGCATTAGATTCTGGTATTTATGTTGCTTCAGTGGCTCTTAATGTCAACATTAAGCAGGTCACGTCACCCTCTTACTATATTGGAGGTAATTCCAAATCCTGTTCAAAAGCGCCATATAAGTACAAGACAGCATCGGCATCAATACCATGTTACAAATGGCACATCTATTTGTTTATCTGCTTATTCACTAGTTAATTACTTTATTCATCACTTCATTCATTCGTTTATCTGTTCATTTACTCGCTTAAATTTAAATGCTTTAAAAGCATTGTTTCAACATGCAAAAATTCTTCTCTCAATTACCAACATACAAGGTATTCCTATGAAACGTACAAATGTAGAACATGCGTATTTCCCCCATGAGGACATCTCAAGTTTTTGCTCTATGTTAACCATATTATTAATAAATTAATCATATGAAAGCCCGCACTATAAAGGCCTGCTACAGTTAGACTAGAATGACGTCCGAATGACGTTGGGGTTTCCGTAAGGTCCATTTTAACAGAGCTTAATTAAAATTATCGTAGTTGGATGAACGCAAACGAGCCTAAAAGGACGAATGAGCGACTGAAGAGACAAACTGATGGCCAAGATGCAGTTGAATCTTTTTCTTGTAACAACAGCTGGTAAGTTATTTGTATTGACATTTGTCAATGTGTGTTACATATAGGCTGACAGCCCATCACAATATAATGAGTTTGCAATACAAACATAATGACTGAAAAACAAGGTGTATTTTATTGGTTTTCATTAAATTCTGCAAAATACGAGAAAATGAAGTCTTAAAACATGAAGAAGGTCCCATCATGAATTTTACTAATGATAAAAGATGAAAAGAGGGATTTTAGAGCTGATTTTAGTGTTCTGTATTGAGCTCGAAATTAGTTCCTGCGTCTTTATGGTACCAGCACAAAATAAAATTAATTTATTCTACGATGTTCCCACGCATATAAGCATCGCTATGCATTTATACACAGTTTCACAGTTATCCATTATTTGATTAAACTTTAACTGGCTGCAGTATTGTTATCGTCATTTTAGTTTCATGGATATTGGTAAGTGGTTCCAGCGCCACTAGTGAAGAGAGCACCATTGATGCCGTCATGTCCGAAGTTCTATCTTGCCTCAGAATCCCAGGATTGTCAGTAACTCTGGTGAAAAATGGACGTGTTATTTTGGCAAAAGGCTATGGAACAAAGGACAAGAACGGCCAGGAACCCGTTACAAGCTCCACATTGTTCAGCATCGGATCGTTGACGAAAGCATTTTCAGCTACTTTGCTCTCCAAAATATTGTATGAAAAGGGGTAAGGGTACTCAGTTTCTAGCTTGCCATCGTGTTTTAGTTCAAACTCACATTTAAAACACTTTATACTGCCATATCCCTGTCAGTCTCGATAGCCTTCAATTACAAAACGAATACCATACGCTAACAAAAGTAGGTCTCATGGTTAAATGTTTAAGGATGAAAGGAACGAGATATGGACACGTTTATGATACACTTTTATTTTCAATCACATTTACATGTACAGAATTTTTTTTCAAATTTCTGATATTCAAAATTAAAAAAAAAATTCGTGGAAAATCACATATAGGCATATATATATATATATATATATATATATATATATATATATATATATATATATATATATATATATATATAATGTAAGATGTGAAAAAACTATACCGTAAAAAATAAATGAATACACTTACCATCTGTTATTTGCGATTAACCATGATCAATCGACACCTAAACTCGTATTCATATTTGCATTTAAACGGAAGTTCAGCTACGGAGTGAATTGCTAATGCCCACCTTTATTCCCTTTCTAAATTACTTGCCATTTTTCATTGACCTTATGTTCGGCCACGTATGCCATGAAAGCATTTAATGGCCTTTTTTCCGGAAAGTGACTTTTTATGTCATTTAACTCAAATTGTGAAGAGCTATGGCATCATATTAATATTTTTACCTATGAAAATAACTATATGAATCGATAAGTTATGAGTTACGTCGATAGAAACACATTTTTCGGATGAGATTTCAATTTTTTTTATAATGTACAGAAAAACTGATCACGAAAATAAATTTATGTATATATGTTTATGCAGGCACGATCTAGAAACTCCGTTGACAACAATTGGAGAGTTGAATGATTTGCGATTTTCTACTGAAGAATTAACGGCACATGTCACTGCCCGAGACCTCCTCAGTCACAGGACCGGTATTCCCAGCTACGACAAAGCGAGACTGAGTGGACAAATAACGTTAGATAACATTGCTCAGTAAGCTGTATCCTTTCTGTGTAGTTATATGAACTGGATACAATTGTTTAAGCCTTTACATATGTTATAAGAATAATACTAAACTTCTTTCAGGGAACTTATTAAAGCTTTATAATAAAAAATTACAAACAGTCACAAAACAAAACTGAAAACATTATTATGTCATCTTCATTTGAGAGACCAAATCTTCCAAGATACTAGAGTTGTTAGTATTATTTCATTTCAGGATACTGCCGCTACTCCAAGCAGCGTTTCCACTCAGAAGCAAATTAATGTATAACAACCTTATGTACGGGTTAGTTGGTCACGTGACACAACGTCTGACGAGGAAGCCATGGTCAGATGCCATGCAGGACGAGCTGTTAAAACCAATAGGCATGCGACACACCGCCATCCTAAATACGTCAAATTACGAGCATTTCCAGTTACCAACACCCTATGATTTTACTAAAAGGAACTTCAACGCATCAAGAGAAATTTCTCCTAAAATTTTAAAGTAAGCTCTATTTGTTGTCAGTCCTGTGCAATCATAACAAATGCGTACTCCTTTGCAACATAAAAAAAAATTCAGTAGACTTGATAGAATAAGTAGGCCTAATTTGTGACAATTGCAGGCAATCGGGTTGTATCGGGTGAATAATATAATGTCCCCAACTCGAAAATTTAATCCTCAATAGAGCAAAATAGCCTGCGATTATCATAATCGGTCTTGGCAAGGACAAATTTGACCAAGTATCTGTGATTGTAGAGGCTAGTCATTTTTAATGCGGACAAAACGTGTTCATTGCTCGTGTAGTCCCTGACTGTAGGCATAGTCGATAAGCTACATTCTTTTGGAGAAATAATCTTTAGACAATGCCATGGTTGAGAAGAAGATTAGCCTTCCTAAGACTACTATATATTGGCATTGCATTTTTGGGTTTGTTCTATTCTGTTCTGAGTCAGAGGTTATACCATTGAAGTAACTTAATTTCTCTCCCATATAATGAGCACTATGTAAAAATGATGTAAGGAACATTATCTATATGCACCCGATGCCTGTTCTATCATTGCATAAATTCTATATTCGCGAATGTCCTAATGAGCTGCCTATTTGCCCCTAGCCATAAAAGAACCCTTTATCACTGGGTGTTATTCATAGTAACGCAATTTCCAGTATCAGGCCCGTAGCCAGGAGGGGGTTGCGGGGGGGGGGGGGGTTCGAAAGAACCGCCCTTTTTGCTGGAAAAGGTCCACTCTGGGTAAAATTTTATCTAGGTACATGAAGTTTTTATAGAAAAAGGTCCACTTTTTCAGAAAAAGAACCCCCCTTTTAAAATTGCTGACTACGGGCCTGAATATACTACTAGAACAATATGCGTCTCACTAGCTCCATTTTATACGTTAAAAATGTCTTATTAACTGAAATTATTCTATCATTGCATAAATTCTATATACGCTAATTTCTTAATGAGCTGCCTATTTGCCGTTAGCCATAAAAAAATTCTATATCACTTAGTGCTACTGATAGTAACACATTTTCCAATATGCATCTAGAATAATATGTATCTCACAAACAGGGCCGTAGCCTCCGGGGGGGCAAGGGGGGGGGGCAGCTGCCCCCCCGGGGGGGGAGGAAAAAAAAAAAAAAACACAAAAAAAAAAAAAAAAAAANTGCTCAGGCTACGGCCCTGACAAATACCATTTTTGTACGTTAAAAATATATGTCATATTAACTAACCGTACGTTATCTGTGTTACACATTTAAGCAATTGATCAGATAAGACGCTTGGTGGATATCAAGTCAATTTTTTCCTACGCATACTACAACAAAATAATGCATTCTAACAGGCTATGGTCCATGAATGCCCCCTCAATGGCGATCGTTTCTGACTCAGTAGACATGGGGAAATGGATACTGTTTCACCTAAACGAAGGCCGAGCAGAGGACGACACTCAAGTTATCCCACAGGAAGTTCTTGCAGAAACATACAGGCCTGTCATTCCTGTACCTCATCCCCGCAACAAGTTTACAGCTCGCCCCATAACTCCCGTCACCTTTATATTCGAGGAATATGGCTGTGCGTGGAAAGTGGGATATTACCGAGGTATTATATTATATTATATTATATTATATTATATTATATTATATTATATCATATTATGACTATTTGATTGTGTTATACTGTAGTGCAAGTATAAATATTTGTATCACTGTCTTATATTTTTGAAATTCACCTAGATGCAATTGCACCAACCTGAGAGAATGTGCAATATGTATAAGTATCGTTATCTGTGTTGTTAAATACTTATTATTCAGCTTCAGTTATCTGGGAATTGTAGCTCTGGATCCTTGGTTGCCTCCAAAATGTGATGCGGCGTTAGTTAGTACTCCATTTCAAAACGAGGGTTATCATAATCTATAAAGTAGAAATCTCCATTTGAAAAAAAAAATCGGGAGGTGTCATGTAAGAAAAAGTGATGATTTTTTCTAGAATTTTATTTTATTTCGCCATTGCGTGGTATTTACATAGAACTCTCATGTGTATTCTTTGCAGGCTACCCACTAGTTACGCATTCTGGATCGACCCACGGATTTTCTTCCATCCTAACATTCATTCCTTCAATGAACATCGGCGCCTACCTGAATTTTAATACGTTTGACAGATCTCATTTTAGAAGACGCGTGATAATGGCATACTTGTTGGACATCCTTTTGGAAGAGACTCCATGGCTGAACAGTTCAAGTATCTGCACGTTCCCAGCTCCGTTTGCTGAATGGCAATATATTCCCAAGTCCGGTGCAAACCGAACGCGCGGCACAGCGGCACGGGCACTCAGCAGCTACGTGGGACGATATCATCACCCGCTTTTCGGCAGCGTCAACGTTGTTCATAATGCCACTGAACCGTTTCTCCGCATGTTTTACGGGCCACTAGGCCACTGGGCACTATTCCCAAACAATTCGGACGAGTTCTTTGGAGTGGGCCAAGGGGCTGTTTGGAATTTTGCACTCAAGGACCTTAAGTTCACAAGCCTTAGCGCAAATAATGAAGATATAGATGCTTTTATCATCACATCTTTTGAAGAGAAAAAACCACCAATTTTCAAGAAAGTCACGGAAGTGTCGGGTATAAATTTAAACTTGTTTCTTACCATATTGTTTTTGTTATCATTACTGACTTATCATATAGTTGCGCATATGGTAAAACGTAAAAGAAAATCAAATTAAAATGTTTTCAAATAAAGATAAATCGAATCTATGTTTGATTATAAAAAGCTTAATTATTTCTTAATTTTTTTAATTATTTAAGAAATAGTTGAAACAAAATTTGTTTGGTCATTTGAAAAAAAAATGTCATCAAAAATACCACTAAGTGACTTTGTTTTTAAAAATAAAAGTAATAAACAGTTAAAATATGTGCTGTTTACTATCGACAATTATGATATGTATGAAGATGACTTATGATTTTCATCTTTGTTTTTTGCGCGAAATAAACCACAAAAGCATTTTTTCTTCGGCATTCTATATATACAAATTGGCTTATCTTACAACCGTTATGGCATCGTTGCTGTTGTCCTCTCTCTCTCTCTCTCTCTCTCTCTCTCTCTCACGGCTTTACAACATGTTGATGTTTTACGTTTGCTTATTATAAAAATATTTCTATCAATCCCCTTGCACGGTACACTCTCTTATCTCTCTACACCTGCATTATGATTCAAACGTCATCTTTCTTTCCATTTATTTTATGTTAAGTTTTCTTTCCATTCCATTCTATTATTCAATCGATAATTAACACCCATCAATAATAAACATTATATTTGCAATTCTTTGGAATTATTTTGGTCATTACAAAATAATGTAAATCAAGAAGACTGCTGAGGGCTTTTTTGTGCAAAAATAGGAAATTTCTTTGTGTCATCGACTAGTGCTTATCAACTATTAGCAACTTCCAAACTTACAAAATAATGCCTGAATATACATTTTTGGCCACTTTGCAAGTGATTGCATGCACTCCTCCTTTCTAATTCCGTCGAAAATTCTTACTCTACTTTTTGCAGTCCATGTATATGTATGCCAGACGGGCTGTTGCTGGTTTAGAAGACACAATAAAGGGTACCGGAGAAGATCAGCATTGGTCAGAATTGTGCCGGAAGTGTGACGTCAAATGGTGTTAGAAGCGAAGCTGAGTGGTCATTTTAACCTGGAGGTGAACGGCAGAGAAGACATGTAGTCGGAGGAAAAAGAAGTTTTCTATACAACATGGTAAGATAACTCTCTTTTTTTTACGCATTTTGGGCAGAGAATACTTGTAGAAATAACAGATGCATGATATGAAAACGTGACACGGAACTTGAAGGTGCAAAATCGTGCGTAATTTGCGGTCAACTTGTTTTGAAATAAATGCTGCATCGACCGCCAGCGCGACAAAGAGCGTTAAGGGAAAATAATTCCCGGGAGTTTATAAATCGTTGTCATGCAACGTTGGCATTAATATAATCTGATATGTCCATATCTAAGTATTTTGGGGTGTTTTATGGTATGGGCTGCAATTATAACGATGTTATAGAGGTCTTGAAGGACCTTGTAAAAACCAGGAAGTAGTTCGTAACTAACAACTGAACCGTACCGATCTCTGACTGCTGTGCAAAGCTGTATCTTTTTTTCAATATTTTAACGAATTTTTATATCTTTACATGTCCATCTGACATAAAAATTCCACACATATGAGCAGACTAATACACCTTTTACACTGGGGTAGGCACAAATCAGTGACAAATGCCAAGACAAAGGTGACATTCTGACAGCCTCTTATCTGAGCTAAAAATCACAAGTACGCGACTGGCATTTAATGGCATCTTACAGCTTATTACCTGTCAAAATGGTCTTGACTTGCACATTGATTGCTGTGCAGTAGCTCATTTGTTATTAATTGTTCAGTATTAATTTTGCTACTTTTAATTTTACTGAGTCTCAGGAAATGTTGTGTGCCTCTTTGCCCCAGTGTAGGCCCACTTTCTTAAGATGGAACATAGCTGTCCTACCATACATTTCCAGTAGATGAAAAACTGAAAAAGCAGTGGATAGTGAACATCAAGCGTGATGTAGGGAAGTCATTTCAGGTATATATTTTTCAGGGTGGTGGTGGCGAGGGGCTATACTTAGTGACAGGAAAAAAGATATTCTGTCATCTGTAATGGTTTTGCTCTCATAAGTTACATGGGTTTTGATTATTGTTGATTTAATATATAGTAAATGGTATATTTATATTAAACAATTACTACATATTTTTGTGTAAATAAAATNTGCTTTGTGCTAGTCGACGTTGGCAGTGACGTTGTTTTCTGCTTTGTGCTAGTCGGCGTCGGCTGTAACGTTGTTGTCACTTTTTTGCTAGTTGACGTAGGCTGTGACGTTGTTGTCTGCTTTGTGCTAGTCGACGTTGGCTGTGACGTTGTCTGCTTTGTGCTAGTTGATGTTGGCAGTGATGTTGTTGTCCGCTTTGTGCTAGTTGACGTTGGCGGTGACGTTGTTGACATGATCACCGAAGTTTTTGGCGTAACTTTTATCGTCGAGGGTCTTGTGCCAACTGTCGTCACTTTTGGACGTCTAGTCTTCTTTTCGGTCGTTACTTTTTGAGGCTCCTTGGTAGTTGAAGTCACTTTGGTTACTGTACCTATTGCAAGTGAAAAATATACCAATTCTAAATCCTCCCCTTATACAATACCAAGAGCTTTAATTGCTGTAGAATTCAATGGCAAATTTATATTAAGCCCAAGTTAGACCAAATGTGTAGTCTGTGGGCTAGATATAGTTTATGCTAAATAGTTTCTTATCGCAGACTGTGGCTCGCCTACCTTTTTTAGCCTTACAAATATAAGGGAACTTCCTTGCACAGTCACGTTGAGTTAGCTGTCCGCTCTGCAAACCGTTAACTAGTGCACAGTGGTTATTGGAGCTTTTTTCAGGTTTTTGCCATATCCTGGTGCGAAAAATATGTTCTTAGTGTAATCGATAATAATCTGAATTTAAACCACAACCAGTTTCTGGAGCAAAAGTTCAAAAGTACGCTCCAAAGTGTAGGTTCAGGTACATATGTTATTTTTTTACTTTCTGTATCATGTATTTTGGGAAGAAATATTGATGAACTGATATTAAAATGGCATTTCCATGCATTAAGTTACGCAAGTGCAATTTACAGAGAAAACAAGGAAGACATAAGCTTCAAAATTCACTCTATGGGTTTAGTTAGTGATCACCAATTGTATGAAGATTTTCACTTGACGCTACGATTATGTTTCCACAAAAATGGTCATTATAAAACTTCCACAAAGATTTAACTTGCAAAGGATGAGTGCGGGACGTGCACGTCGTACATGCACATGTAGTTTCACGCGCACACGTGCACACCTCAGACTCAGAGATATGTTTCCACGCGCCGTCAAAAATAAACTTACTACAACTTACGCAAGCGATTTGTCGCCATTCTTCTCTGCCCATTTCCACCTTCCTTTGATATTGTTGAAGCTAGACCACCACTTCTTTAGACGGGAATCTTTCTTTTCATATTTCAACATTTGTTGACTTAACCATTGCTATGTACCCGACATGAAATACAAAATATGACATTTTAACAACAACAAAATCAATAATAATAATAATAATAATAATAATAATAATAATAATAATAATAATGTAACTTTAAAAAAACAACATTGCTTAACATTTTGTTATTTCAGTATTGCAGACTCCATAATGCTGTATATCAAATCTGTTGTCCTTTCTGTAAAAGCGAACAGCAGACACCTACCAGCTCGCATTCTGAGGAATAAGAGAGCAGATCTGCATTCTGGGAAGCACAATCTGCGCGCGCATCAGGCCATGTTTTCCTATCAGAGTAACTGCTGAAACTGAAGCAGAAGTTGCTGTACGGGCTTTCTTTCCAGCCCTTGGGACAGCCGTGTTGGTACTCTGCAAATACGAAGGTACATTGTCAGCCCTGTGTTGATGGGTATAACGCTGTAAGACTGATAATTCCAAGGAGAAAGTCTTATATAAATGCATGATTTTAATCATAAAAATAAATGGTGCTCCTAATTTTGATATGATTGACGACTGTGTGTTTGTGGGTAGTTGGTAGTTAGGTTAAACCTGAAGAGATAAGTCAACCCCCACCCATAGTATCCATTGGAAATTCTTCCCAGGGCGGTGTAATGAAACTGAGGGTCCGTGTAACAGAAAATCCGCCCTCCATTAAGTTATAATGGTTAGGGTTAGTCTGACCTAAGTGGGTCAAAATTTAAGGCGAGGCTTACCTGTACAAATGAATGGGAAGCGGACTCTCTGTCATGGAGGAGTCTCTGTCACTTTACACCGGGATCATGAGAGGAAATGGGCTACACAGATTTTGCAGTCAGTACCACATGCACATAATTTTGTTAACCGGCATTTTTTACATTTGTCTTCAAATTTTTTTATGAAATTTCATTTCTTTATCTCAAATTTTGCTAACAGGCTTTGTTTAATTTTTGTTAATATGGCAGACAAAATTACTTGACTTTCATCGTATCGCTCGTTACAACGGTATTTGGGGGATGGGGGGGGGGGGGGGGGGTGGTAGGGAAATAGGGGACAAGGGGGCCTCGGAGGACGTGCCTGTACTGAATTCGTCATTTATTAATGTTGTCAACAAGTTCTGCTTGACTTAAGGGACGTTTATGACAGTCTGTGTAACGGTCAGAGATAATGGACACCTTTGTTTGCCGCCTGGTTCACAACCTACAGGATAATACGGGCTTCAAAACTGGACTTTAGTTCTGATGACCCAGCGGTGATGTTACATTAACCTTGGACCCTAGATGGGTCGTAGCATCAACTGGTCAGTTACAAAATGGCCAGTTAAGAAAAGTCCTTGTGGATAATTAAACACAGATATACCTATTGCATTTTATCTCTTTTTTTTTCTTTTTTGTCTCATCGCTGGCATGTCAAGTTCCTTTTTCGGAGTCTTTACTGACTTTACTGACTAGGAACATGACTTGTTTTGATGATTGATATACCATCTTAACCTAAACTTCTTTATTTCCTTCATTTCTTTGAAATCTACATGAAAATACCTCTTTTTAAACTCATCGACAATGCACGACACACACGCATATTGGGACCTCATTATTTAACGACTCTTGTCATATATACATGTACATTGTAAAGCAGAGCAAGGCAATCGCAACTCTTCATTTGACGGTAAAAACTTTTCTCCGAGTCTGAAATTTATGGGAGGTTGTTCTTAAATTCTGAGCTTTCTACCAAACTTTGTGGCTACATAAAGGCTACCTGGTCTACATACTGGTGTATAAAAACGCCTTTCACTTTCACTTACTGCTTGTCTTACATTTTGGCTGTGTTGTCGGGTGCGTTGTCGGGTGCGTTGTAGGGAGCGTTGTAGGGAGCGTTGTTGGGCGCGTTGTCGACGGCGTTGTTGGACGCGTTGTTCGGTGTGCCCTGGTAGGACTTGCAGTGGTCTGCCTATGCTTCCCTTGACAAAGCCATTTCCCTGGACTATTTCCCCTCCAACAGATAGTTGTCTTCACTATCTTCCTAACATCAGTCGTGTGCGCGAGATGGACGGTGCAGACTGCAAGGAACGTTAACAGGAGCGTCAGAGGGGCACGCATGCCGTACGGTGTAGTGCTACCCTACTAATAATGTAAACGAATAACGATTCCCAAAAGAACGAGTTAGACAGGTACCGAAGGCAAGAAGTGGGTCCTTCACACGACACGCGCCAGAGCACGGGACAGCACATAACATTTCTGGCCATATGCATTGTCCTTATATACTGCAATCACTCGGCAACACGTGGTTTGATACGCTATGTGTGACGTAATTGCCTGATATGACCGCAGCCACTCCGTGGTTGAACAAATTATGAATGAAACTCGATTATTTTTATCAACATGAAAACCGTCATAATAGTCTATAGATGTGAGGATTGTGGTGTTTGTCTTACGTACAATTAAAAGTCAAAAAGTAGTCCTACACCGCATTATCTCTGATGGCTTTCTTATACGAGAACAAGCTACACTTATGGAGCAATTCTCAAACATATGAAGAACAATTCGACATTTCATAAACATCATGGGTGGACCAAGTTCATTTTCCAACTTTTATTGTCATTCTAAGTAGGTATCATAAATTGTCGACGGAAAGTGAACGTAGGCGTATAGTGGGGAGAGTCCTATGACAAAGTCTGATATGAAAACAAATGAACCCACTAATCTGTGATAGGAGTATATTTGAGTCTGAGTAACAGTACGGTTAATGTGTGTTCCGGTGATAAAATATGAGAACTACTAGTTGATTAAAGTCTTTCAACCATAAATCGATACATTGGTAGTAAATAAATTCTCTATAACCTTTCACAATATCTTGGACCGCGAAAAATTTTCGTATACAAAAAGCATGGAGATATTTTAATCAGTTGTCAATCTACTGGTTATTTATATACTTTCCATAATATCACACGTTTCGTGATGTTGAAAAAATATTTGTAGACTTAATGGACTTATTTCGGCCAATGAAAAGTGATATGAGTTAAAATATTCAATAAGTAAGTTTATGGTGGTGGCGTAAGGCTGCTGCAGTCTAACTCGGGACAACATCGACCGGCTTTCGGGGGTTTCAAGACGCATCCAGGGGGGACCTTGCCCGTCCAATCAGGACACCTAAAATAAAAATTAAACTTAAAATTGCGTGTCAAATTTAAATTACGTGTCAACTGTGTTAACTGAACATACAAATTAACAGTGGAACAAGTCTCTAAAAATGCATTCATAGTAAATTCATTATAAATGTTATACTTGGCAACTGATAATATATGTTTTAATGATGAGACAGAAAGACGTGAAGCTAAAGATTTTAACGTACAAAGGTTCGCAGTAGATGAAATTCAACGAAGGCCGAATGCAGATGCAGCTTTTCTCACAACCAACATTCCATCTCTCATTTTGGCTGTACAATACGTTGTTGTCTATGCAGCGGTCTGAAATAGAGATGATGACACTGTCTCTTTAACGGATAGACAAACTTCGCACACGCGCCAAAATATACTAGAGAATAACACCGGTATTCCTCCACGTACACATCTAATAACACACACGTGCGCATTCGCAAGCACAAAATAAAGATATGAATTAAATAAATGAATAAATAACAAGGTTGGGAAACACATTTATCAATTTCAACGTTAACATACACCAGTTTCCAAAGTGCTTACCTTTTGGAGCCGTCACAATTGACGCCTTTTCAGTGGTACTGGTAATAGTTGTAGCAGCAGTAGTAGTAGTAGTAAAAGTAATGGCTGGCGAAGACGACAGAGTTGACAGTGGCATTGTTGGCTGCTTTGTGCTAGTCGACGTTGGCTGTGGCATTGTTGGCTGCTTTGTGCTAGTCGACGTTGGCTGTGACGTTGTTGTCTGCTTTGTGCTAGTCGACGTTGGCTGTGACGTTGTTGTCTTCTTTGTGCTAGTCGACGTTGACTGTGACGTTGTTTGCTTTGTGCTTGTCGACGTTGGCTGTGACGTTGTTGTCTTCTTTGTGCTAGTCGACGTTGGCAGTGACGTTGTTGTCTGCTTTGTGCTGGTCGACGTTGGCTGTGGCGTTGTTGTCTGCTTGGTGCTAGTCGACGTTGGCAGTGACGTTGTTGTGTGCTTTGTGCTAGTTAACGTTAGCTGTGACGTTGCTGTCTTCTCTGTACTAGTTGAAGTTGTTGATATGGTCGTCAACTTTTTTGGCGTGGGTCTCGTGGCAACTGTCGTCACTTTTGGACGCCTAGTCTTCCTTTGGGTTGTAATTTTTAGGAAGTTTGTGGCAACTGATGTTACTTTTGGACGACACGTCTTCCTACGGGTCGTAATTATTGGAGGTTTCTTGGTATTTGAAGTCACTGTGGTTGCTACTGTACCTATTAATGAAAAAGGCTATACACATTTATAGGCTAAATTCTCCCCTACATCCAACATGAAGGACTTAAATTGCATTGGAATTCATTGGTAAGATTAAGCACTTGCAAGACCAAATTTCAAAACCCGTGTGCTGTACATGATGTATGCAAATTACTTACAGACTGTGGCTGACCTACCTTTTTTAGCCTTACAGATATAAGGCAATTTCCCCGCACAATTGCCTTGAGTTAGCCGCCCGCCCCACGACCCGCTCACAAGTCCACAGCGGCGTTTGGAGCGCGGTCCCTCTTTCCAGACTCTGGTGCGGGAAAAGAAATTTCTAGTGTTATCGATGATATTCCGAATCTTACCGACAATCATTAAGAATAGTACTCTACTGACATGCAACTTACAGGACGTCAGAGATAAGTATAAGACAACTTACGCGAGTGATCTGTTGCCATTTTTCTCTGCCCATTCCCAACTCCCTCTGATGTTTATAAAGCTAGACCACCACTTGTTTAAACGAGAATCTCTCTTTTCATAGTTGAGCATTTGTTGAGTTAGCCATTGCTATGTATCCGACATGAAATACAAAAAAGACACCTATAAGAATAATAATGATAATAAAATAACAAAAACAACAAATTGATAATTATTATCATATTAATGCATTTTGAAAGAAAACCCAGTATTATTTAACATTTTACGTGTATACTATTACAATATTAGAGACTCCCATAATGTTGTATATTATTCCTTTTATACTTTTTGAAAAATTGCAGAAAGGGGTACCGTAAATTACTTACCTGTTCGCATTCTGAGGAATAAGACAGCAGATCTGCGTTCTGGGAAGCACAATCTGCGCGCGCATCACGCCACGTTTTCCTATCAGAGTAACTGCTAAAACTGAAGCAGAAGTTGGTGTACGGGCTTTCTCTCCAGCCCTTCGGACAGCCGTGTTGGTACTCTGCAAACATAAAGATCCATTATCGATCCAACTAGTATGATGGGTTTATCTGAACGCTCCCTAAAACTGTCGCCCTTTTCTCTCTGAACCAGTAGTCTAATCAGCGACATGTAGTTTCCTTCGCGAAGTCTTTTGGCACATGATTGTTTTGACAATTTTCATGTTAAATATTACATTTAACACTAAACTTCTATCTTCATCTCCTTCAATTTCTTTGAAATCTACACGGAAATACCTCAATTTTATCTTATGGACAACATACATACGCACACAGAAAGTGTAGTTTACATAAAAGTCTAAACATGTAGTCATTATACTAGTCTGTTAGGTAGCCTATTTTCTAGTCTTTTTACATAACTTGTCTATGTATTAGTCTGTATGTGTTGCTAGTATATATGTATTAGTCTAATCATGAAGTAATTGCTTTACATGATATTTATCAGTTTCACTTACTTCCTGTCTTACATGTTGGCTGTGTTGTTGGGTGCGTTGTCGTTTGCTTAGAAGTTCTAGTTGACTTTGGCTGTGACGTTGTTGACGTTATCAGCGGGGTAGGTTTCGTGGCAACTGTTGTTACTTTTGGACGCCTAGTCTTCCTTTGAGTCGTAACTATTGGAGGTTTCTTGGTATTTGAAGTGACTTTGGTTACTATTGTACCTTTTTATGAAAAAATACACAAGTAAAGGCTTAATCCTCCCATAATGCAACACCAAGGACAATTCGTTGACAAAATTAAGCGACAGTAAGACCGACATTGTAACCCGTGGGCTAGACAAGATGTATGCAATTTAGATACAGACTGTGACTAACCTACCTTTTTTAGCCTTACAAATATAAGGCAATTTCCCCGCACAATTGCCTATTGCTAGCCGCCCGCCCCACGACCCACTCACCAGTCCACAGCGATGTTTAGAGCGAGGCCCCTCTTTCCAGATCCTGGTGAGGAAAAGAAATTCATAGTGTTATCGATAGTATTCCAAATCTTAATGACAATCAATCAAAGGAAGTTTTCCACTGACATACAACATTAGGCTAAGATGTATTTGCCATTAGGCTAATGTGCGTTTTTCACTTTGCATATATTGATATTTCTTGTGGGATATATACATACATTGAACTTAAAAGGGAATTCAGTTACCTTTTATGGACAAGGACTTGTAAAAACGAGGGAGATATAAGTAACAATATCATCCTTAGGTTTCACTTTATCATTTAGGCCCTACACTTGTTTCATGTCGCCTTGTTTCCACAAATTTTTCATTATAAAGCTTCCAACCACAACAATTCGCCTAGCATGGGATGTGTGCTGAATATATTCATGTGCGGGTATATGTAATTCCCTTTTATTGTGCAGGTACAAGTCGTCAGAGCTAAATATATAACTACTTACGCGAGCGATCTGTCGCCATTTTTCTCTGCCCATTTCCAACCCCCTCTGATATTTACAAAGCTAGACCACCACTTGTTTAGACGAGAATCTCTCTTTTCATACTTCAGCATTTTTTGAGTTAGCCATTGCTATGTATCCGACATGAAATACAAAATATGACATCTCTAATAATAATAATAATAATAATAATAATAATAATAATAACAATGGTAATAGTAATAATGATAATAATATTAATGCATTTTGAAAAAAAAATCCAGCATTAGGGCTACTTATCATTTTACGTGTATATTATTTAAATATTAGAATTTAGAGACTCCCATAATGTTGTATATTATTTCATGTATACTTTTTGAAAAAGGTTAGAAAAATGTAAACGGAAAACACCAACCATTTCACATTCTGAGGAATAAGAGAGCAGATCTGCATTCTGGGAAGCACAATCTGCGCGCGCATCATGCCATGTTTTCCTATCAGAGTAACTGCTGAAACTGAAGCAGAAGTTGCTGTACGGGCTTTCTCTCCAGCCCTTCGGACAGCCGTGTTTGTACTCTGCAAATATAAAGATCCATTATCCATTGTTAAAGCAATGCTGTAAGACTAATTATTCCGTTGAGAAAGTCTTACCGCTAACTGTCCTCTCAAATAAATAAATAAATAAATTTATCTGCAGTCAGCACTTTGCACTGACAGAATGGAAAAGAATTTGTCGAAGGGCGGGGGGGGGGGGTAAGAATGAAAATGATCCCTAATATAAAAACAATAGGCGTTAACAATTTCATTTTGTAATCTATGTACATGTAGTTATTATGGAGATTTATGGAGATTTTGTTTCTCGCTCGTTACAATATTTCCCCCTCCCCTCCTTTTTTTGGGTGGAAGAAAGAGGAAACCAGGGGGGAATCTCTCAGGCGGTGCACCCTCTGGATTCGCTATTTATCTATGTTGTCAACAGGTTCTGGCTGACGTCAGGTTAACTGTTGACAGTGTGCGTAGCGGTCAGAGATAATGGACACTAGTGCTTGCCACCTGTGTGTAACCTACAGGACAACACAGGAATGAAAACTGGACTTTAGTTCTGATGACCCAGCAGCAATGTCAAACATCAACTGCCCAGATACAAAAACTGACCGGTTAAGAAAAGTCTTGTGATCTATTTAACATAGAATAATAAAACTGTCGCACTTTTCTCTCTGAAGCAGTATTCTCATCACTGGCTTGTAAAGTTCTCTTCACAGAGGCTTTACGGCGCATGATTTTTTAAACAGCTTTGGTGTTAAATATGACATCTAAGCCCCAAAAATGTCTTAATTTCCTTCATTTTCTTTGCTATCTACGAGGAAATATCTCATTTTCATCGAATCGAAAATTTACGTACGCGCACAGAAAGGATCATTTAACGGCTGTTGTCAAAAGAAAAATATATGAATCTTTATATACCTGTATGAAAAAAACGAGGAAATTGCTTTTCCTTTTATCAGAAAGCATTTTATCTCCTAGTCCGAAATTGAATTTTTTTTTAAATTTCTGAGTTTTCTTCCTAACTGCACGTGGTAAAAATAGCTAGCTTTAATTTATATAAAAGTCTATACATGTAGTCAATATACCAGTCTGTACCTATTCCTAGCTTATTTTCTAGTCTTTTTACATAACTTGTCTATACTAATCTATACGTAGAACTAATCTACATACTAATGTCTTTACATGACGTCTATCACTTTCACTTACTGCCTGTCTTACATGTTGGCTTTGGTGTCTGGTGCGTTGTCGTGTGCGTTGTTGGTCGCGTTGTCGGGTGTATCCTGGTGGGACGTGCAGTGGTCTGCCTATATTTTCCTGGACAGTTCCACTTCGTTGGTCTTCTACCGGTACAACAGAGATGTGTTTTCCAACAGAGATGTCTCGCACCAAGGCGTTGCACCCCTGTAGTGTGTACACGGTAGACGGTGCAGACTACAAGAAGCACAAGCAGCAGAGGAACACGCATGCCGCACGGTGTAATGTTACCCTACTGGTAAGGGAAACGATTGGCAACGCCCAAAGACCGAGTTAGAAAGGCACAGAGAGCAAAAGGTGGGTCCTTCACACGACACGCGCTAAGCAAGTGACAGTGCTTAAGTTTTCTGACCAGGACACTGGTACTGTTCATATATACGACAATCACTCGGCAACGCGTGGTTTGAGACGCTATGTGTGACGTAACTGCCTGATGTGACGACATGTTTCATAACCACTCGGTGTTGGAATAACTTGTGAATTAAATTTAATTAGGACAAATTTTCAATGTTATTTCAGATAAAAAATTATGCAATATATTTAGAGAGGGGTATAAACTGAAGAAAATTGTTATGTCATTGAGACGATATGAGACGATATCCGAATGGTTTTATTTGCCAAATACATGGAAAACAAACCAAAATTAATAATTTGTTGAAATATATACGACATTACGTTTGAGAGTGGACTTGGTAAAAGGAAAATACAGGATTCACATGTGATCAATCTCGGTTAACTATATCTTGCAAAAGTATAAATTTAATTATTCATTTTAGTAGTTCGTTTACCATTTTAGTCCTCATTTTAACAAATGGCGTTATGCGAAAATGGGTCACGAACCAAATCTCACATAGACAAGATCATTTCAACATTTCACAAATAAAGTTATTACATTTTGATTACGTAATGGAGAAGTTTTATTTTTTATTGTTATAAACTATTTGTGCGAGCAGTCTTATCAAAACAAAGAAATATTCAAAATTTAATATAAATACCATTCTGTAAGCCTATAGTATAATTTTACAAATGGCAAAAACTCAAATAATTTCTCTCGCTTTGCTTGTGATAGATGGTAAACTGATGAAAGTCGAAATAATCAAGCTGAGAGAAACGTAAGAAGTAATAAAAAACACTGAAAAGTCATCCTATCCAAAACTAGAACTTTATTTTCCAAACAAGAGACAAGAGTAATCCACTCCCCTCAACAATATATTTCATGCAGACCTATGATTTGCATGTCTAGGTCAATAAATCCCTATGTTGTCATATCCGTGTATGGTATTGTTTCAACATCAGTCTGTCTATTTGATAACAGGTACTCTAGAAATAATGTCTGCATAATAACTGAGGCTGTCCTATTTTTTATCTTTGTCTGCACATTCACTGTGAACAGCAACAGTACACTAGTGTACGTGTATGCTTGGTGAGGAGAAAAAAGTCAGCACTTTGAAATATGTGTTTTCTCGCCAAGTTTATGTATCTGACACCTTGGTCAAAATGCGGTCCATGATCCACCCAGGCAGTAGAGGTCCTAGGATTGCCATAAGCTGGAATATTGAGAACAATGCTTGAACATGAAAAATAGGTTATAGGTGGCGCTGCACATAGTCGTGCTGAGTCTCAGCGACTACTGGATCTGCAAGACCGTTTGACTCTCTTGTTATCTTTGATGAAAGCGTGAATGCGATGCGCAGTCACACCTGACACATTCGTATTGTCAGAATGTCTCATGCATAGAAATTGTAAGTTACTGCCTGTGGAATGATGAAATGGCTATTAACAAGGGATTAATGGTAAATGGATTTCTTCAAGCCTGGCAAAAAAGACACGCACTGGTATGTTAGTGGAGGGGGGGGGGGCACCACAATAATCTTATCAAAGTAAGCCCATTTTTTTCCTGAAAATTACATCGATTTCTCCAAACACCACTAAATGAGTTAATTAACAAGCCAAAAGGATAAAGCAAAACCTCCTTGGCAGTGGTCAAAAATATTCTTGTAACCCTTCCCAAAATTCCTCTACCTGGAAGTGTTACTAGTACCTTATACTTGTCCACTCGAGAGGTGCTGCCCCCTATCAGGTATCTGTCTCTCGGCACCACTGACAACAGCGCATCTTCGAACGCGTCAATGACAGGAGTGACGTCAGTTGCTGAGCCAGTAGCGTCTCCTCCAATGAAGTTCAGCACGTTGCTCACGGTCTTGTCTTTGGGGTAGGCCTCTTTTAGCTCGGTGCTCATGGATTCCCATTGTTCGATCATCTGAGGGCGGATTTTTTCAATCTAAAAAAAGAAGTCTTGTTACTTGAGTTTTATTTATGTATTTACGTCTCCGGTAAGGAATATGATAGTTTAAGAAGGTTATAGCAAAGTTACACTGCATGCGATGAAACACACTCGGAAATATATGGGGATTTGTGTTTATCTCCATTGAAATGACTTTATGAACTTGCAAGATGAAAATGCTTACCTCTTAGAGCTCATGACCAAAGAAACTATCTTTCTACGATCCAAGTCCGAGGGGACTTTCAAAAAGATAAACAGATCATCACACCTCCTCCCCTTTCCAAAGCACTCGTATAATCACTCAACGCCAGGAGGGGTCGTCTTAATGTGATTCCAATAAAGGGAACNATTTTTTTAACAGCTTTGGTGTTAAATATGACACCTAAGCCCCAAAAATGTCTTAATTTCCTTCATTTTCTTTGCTATCTACGAGGAAATATCTCATTTTCATCGAATCGAAAATTTACGTACGCGCACAGAAAGGATCACTTAACGGCTGTTGTCAAAAGAAAAATATATGGATCTTTATATACCTGTATGAAAAAAACGAGGAAATTGCTTTTCCTTTTATCGGAAAGCATTTTATCTCATAGTCCGAAATTGAATTTTTTTTTTTTAATTTCTGAGTTTTCTTCCTAACTGCACGTGGTAAAAATAGCTAGCTTTAATTTATATAGAAGTCTATACATGTAGTCGATATACCAGTCTGTACCTATTCCTAGCTTATTTTCTAGTCTTTTTACATAACTTGTCTATACTAATCTATACGTAGAACTAATCTACATACTATCACTTTCACTTACTGCCTGTCTTACATGTTGGCTTTGGTGTCTGGTGCGTTGTCGTGTGCGTTGTTGGTCGCGTTGTCGGGTGTATCCTGGTGGGACGTGCAGTGGTCTGCCTATATCTTCCTGGACAGTTCCACTTCGTTGGTCTTCTACCGGTACAACAGAGATGTGTTTTCCAACAGAGATGTCTCGCACCAAGGCGTTGAACCCCTGCAGTGTGTACACGGTAGACGGTGCAGACTACAAGAAGCAGAAGCAGTAGAGGAACACGCATGCCGCACGGTGTAATGTTACCCTACTGGTAAGGGAAACTATTGACAACGCCCGAGTTAGAAAGGCACAGAGAGCAAAAGGTGGGTCCTTCACACGACACGCGCTAAGCAAGTGACAGTGCTTAAGTTTTCTGACCAGGACACTGGTACTGCCCATATATACGACAATCACTCGGCAACAGGTGCTTTGAGACGCTATCTGTGACGTAACTGCCTGATGTGACGACATGTTTCATAACCACTCGGTGTTGGAATAACTTGTGAATTAAATTTAATTAGGACAAATTTTCAATGTTATTTCCGATAAAAAATTATGCAATATATTTAGAGAGGGGTATAAACTGAAGAAAATTGTTATGTCATTGAGACGATATGAGACGATATCCGAATGGTTTTATTTGCCAAATACATGAAAAACAAACCAAAATTAATAATTTGTTGAAATATATACGACATTACGTTTGAGAGTGGACTTGGTCAAAGGAAAATACAGGATTCACATGTGATCAGTCTCGGTAAACTATATCTTGCAAAAGTATAAATTTAATTGATTCATTTTAGTAGTTCGTTTACCATTTTAGTCCTCATTTTAACAAATGGCGTTATGCGAAAATGGGTCACGAACCAAATCTCACATAGACAAGATCATTTCAACATTTCACAAATAAAGTTATTACATTTTGATTACGTAATGGAGAAGTTTTATTTTTTATTGTTATAAACTATTTGTGCGAGCAGTCTTATCAAAACAAAGAAATATTCAAAATTTAATATAAATACCATTCTGTAAGCCTATAGTATAATTTTACAAATGGCAAAAACTCAAATAATTTCTCTCGCTTTGCTTGTGATAGATGGTAAACTGATGAAAGTCGAAATAATGAAGCTGACAGAAACGTAAGAAGTAATAAACAAACAACTGAAAAGCCATCCTATTCAAAACTAGAACTTTATTTTCCAAACAAGAGTAATCCAGTCCCCTCAACAATATATTTCATGTACACCTATGGTTTGCATGTCCAGGTCAATAAAACCCTATGTTGTCATATCCGTTTATGGTATTGTTCCAACATCAGTCTGTCTACCTGATAACAGGTACTCTAGAAATACTGTCTGCATAATGATTGAGGCTGCCTTATTTTTTCTCTTTGTCCGCATATTCCGCATATTTCACTCTGAACAGCAACATCCGTATACCGGAAACGGCCAAAGACAAGTGTACGTGTATGCTAGGTGAGGAAAAAAGTCAGCAATTTGAAATATGTGTTTTCCCGCCCAGGTTTAGGTATCTGACACCTTGGTCAAAATGCGGTCCATGATCCAGCCAGGCAGTAGAGGTCCCAGGATGGCCATCAGCTGGAATATTGAGAACAATGCCTGAACATGTAAAATAGACACACAAAAAAAGATACAATCAAAATTACACCTGACACATTAACAGTCACATTGGACACATTTATATTGTCAGAATGCCTCATGAAACATACATTGAAATTATAAGTTACTGCCTGTGGAATGATGAAATGGCAGTTAACAATGGATTTATGGTGAATGGATTTCTTCAGGAATGTGTAAAGTTTTTTAAGCCTGGCAAAAAAGACACTGGCATGTTAATGGGGGGGAGGGGTAGCCACCACAAAAAAAAAATGTAATCGAATTTAGTCCATTTTCCCTGAAAACTGCATCAATAACTCCAAACAAACAACTAAATAAGTTAGATTCTTAACTAACAAGCCAACAAAGGCAAAGCATAAAACTCCTTGGCGTTGTTGAAAAATATCTCTGTGACCCCTCCCCAAATTCCTCTTCCTGGAAGTGTCACTAGTACCTTATACTTGTCCACTAGAGAGGTGCTGCCCCCTATCAGGTATCTGTCTCTAGGCACCACTGACAGCAGCGCATCTTCGAACGCGTCAATGACAGGAGTGACGTCAGTTGCTGAGCCAGTAGCATCTCCGCCAATGAAATTCAGCACATTACTCACGGTCTTGTCTTTGGGGTAGGCCTCTTTCAGCTCGGTGCTCATGGATTCCCATTGTTCGATCATCTGAGGGCGGATTTTTTCAATCTAAAAAAGAAATCTTTGGGACTTTAAGTTTTATTTATGTATATACAGCTCCGGTAAGGAACATGATGGCTTTAGAAGGTTATAGAGAAGTTAAAATGAATGCGATAAAACACACTCGGAAATATATGGGAATTGTGTTTATCTCCATTGAAATGACTTTATGAACATGCAAGATGAATATGCCTTCTTCTAATAGCTCATGACCAATGAAACTATCCTTCTACGATCCAACTCCGAGGGGACTTGCAAAATTAAAGATAAACAGATCATCACGCCTCCTCTCCTTTCCAAAGTACTCGTATAATCACTCGACGCCAGGAGGTGTCGTCTTAATGTGATTGCAATTAGCAAGAGACCAGCGAAGTTGGCATGATCTATGTGGAACGATAGTTTCATTGAGAATGCGCCCTTCCAGGATGCTTACATCTACGATGGCTGTTGCTCCACCAAAGTGTCCGGGCTCTACGATGACGACATCCACTCCAAATGACGTCATTTCCCGTCGAAGGCAATCCGAGAAACATTCTGCGGCAAACTTGCTGCAACTGTACACAGATTCCAGAGGATAAACCACCAGACCTTTCACGCTTGTCACGTTCACAATTCTCCCTGAAATGATAAAAAATTCTTCTGGAAAGAAGACCACGATGATCGAGATTAGTTTGGTCCACAGGGTACCCTCGACCAGAAGCTTGGTGCGTGATGAATGACGTTATTTCTGAAATTCTGTGTTGAAAATCTCGCCGGAAAGTCTGAGAAGTGTACACATAATTTGCCAGAGGAATATCCGCAAATGTCTTAAGAAAAGTCTCTATATGTAGTTCTGGTAGAGTCCTGGCCTTATTTCTCCAATATAATTTGCAATCTTTCGTGTCTTTTTCCAACTTGTAGACGCGCCCTAAGATGCTCATTTTTTAAAAGTACCCATGTGTCCAGATGTATGTGTCATGTACCACACTTAGTTACTTTAATTATTTTGTTCTACAAGGGGAAGTAAAAGAAACTGGACAAAAAATTACCACTTTCCAGTTTTTTTGATTATTCGCGATGAAGCAAGTAACAAAGATTCATTGCTTTTTCTGAAAAAATAAATAAAACAGATAATGCCATACTAATAATAAATACGCAAAAATAGAACACATGCCTCCATCTCTATATTTTTGAAAAAATCCCAAAGGCTCGTATTCGAGAGAGAGAGAGAGAGAGAGAGAGAGAGAGAGAGAGAGAGAGAGAGAAAGGATGAGAGAGGGTGGTAGTATAATATATTAACAAATATGGAAAGGCCTTTCGTACCTTTAGACTTTCTTATAAGTGGAAGAAAAGCCTTTGAAATACGAATCATCCCATAAAGATTGATGTCCATGCATGCCTGGTAGCCGTCCAGGGGAGTAATTTCCACCGCTCCTAGGGGGTTGACGCCGGCGTTGTTTACCACGGCCCAGAACTCTACACAAATCAGAGGACTATTTCATTTGGGCATATATATAGGCCATTTGAAAAATGATGGATAGTTGTAGATTATCTCGAAGCTTACTTTAATCAAGTAATTATATCGATATAATTCCCTGCTTTAATCAATAAAGTCTCTCACTAGCAATAGCATTCAATGAACTTTTGTTCAGTTTTGTCAATAACGAGTATATTCGAGTATATGTCCGGCTCTTCCTTTCATACAGCACTTTTCTTTGGCAAGAGGATAACTATAATAGTCTACGTATTTTTAGACCAATGGATTAATTAATCATCCTTTGCATATAAAATCTCGAAGGTTTCATGTGGGAAATATGTACATGTAGCTCTTCTCTTGTGGTCTTCTTATTTTTAAATATAAAAAAGCCAAATATATGTGCATATGTTAGAAATTTAACATTATATACATGTATATAGAGTCATTTTTACCAAAACTTGCAAAATGTTCAGATATTATCAAGATTGCCCTAATGTAAAAAAGAACAAATTGTATCTGTTTCAGAGGGTCACAAAAATGATATTTTTCTCCAGGTTTACATATAAATGTGTCAAACATAAAAAAACGAAATCGCACAATAAAAAACCCTATTAAATGCTCAAAATGGGTTTGATTATTCTACATGCATTATGGATATTGTTTAGGTTTAAAGAAGCTACTTTTATGTGAAAATAGTTTCATTGGATCTCAGCTTTGATAGTCAGAAAGTTTTCATTTATGATGGGGGGGGGGCGAGAGGGACTAACAAGTCATCATCAAGACTTAGATAATTACTTGTTCACCTTCACCTGATCAGGTAAATCAGTTGTGACCAAGTCTGTCAGAGTGAACAGACGAAACAGTCAACAGGTAAATCAAATATCTGGTTCTATCATTAAGGAAAACTTTCTGACTATCAAAGCAACCGTTATGTCTTGATGGCAATAGGGCAACTTAAAAAAGCAAATGTAACAGTTGCCTTTTCATTACAGTAAATCTATCAATTGCTTAGTATAATTATTTTATCTATAATCAGTAATTGACACATATTTTTTCACCAAAAACCTGACAGATGACAGCCAAAATAGGTAAACTGACATCAATGCAATAGTTCCTTTCATCATTATATGCCCGTGCATTATTTACCCAATGCCGGTCAGGAGTGAAAAAAAAACATATAAAATCGTCTGTTCTTGTGGCAGAATGGAGATGGAAATGGAGAAAAATTAGGATGTAGGAAAAAGTTAAACCAAAAAGGCAAGGGGAATAAGAAGATTCAGAGGGGAAATTGACTGATTGAGTGTAGCTGATAAACCTGTGCCACATATATAAAAGAGATAAAAGAATTTTTTTTATTTTAACATCACTATCGTAAAAAAAAAAAGAAGAAGAAAGGCGGTAGCACAAGTAGGGAGGAAAAACAAAATTTAGATGATATAAGATCAGTTAAAATAAAAGGAGTGATTTATTCTTCCAGACGTCCAAACATAGTAAAGGTAGTGGAGCGCATGATAAAAGATTAAACAAACGATTTTGTCTGGAAATATGCCATTTTGCGATATTTTGTTGGGTGATGTGGAACGTAGCCTACCAGGAAGGAAAGTGAGATATAAAGACAAAATTGTCTTTGGGCGACCAGTCTACATATTATTTATTAGTTTTTAATTTAAAAATCTGAATGGAGTCTTAACCAGCATAGGCAAAAAAAAGAAGACAACTAAAAAGCAGACAAAATCTAAAGTGTGCCGTATGCCACGGCAACCTAGAATTTTTTAATTATACATCAACTTTCACACCAGACGCCTCATAAAAAAGCACCATGTTGACTGGACATAGTTATAAGAAGAAAACAGACCTGCATAATTTCTTGTCTACATTACGAAAATTGAAAAGACATTAAGTCAGTCTGGAGGAAATAGTCCAAAACTAATGTATGTATAGAGCGCAGAATAGCAGATTCAGAAGTGCAAATTGTTGAAAACATGGGAATTTTATGATATTGAAAGCTGTTATCACTATTTGGTGAAGGATAATGAAGAAAAAGGGGCATTGGCCATCAGAATGAATATGTAATCGCTAGAATTGCAAGTCATTCTTATGCGGTATTTTCCTCTAAAAAAAGTTTCGAAATTTTTGGTAGGGGTCCAAATTTTACATTGAGCTGAGTAATTATATAGAGAAAATTAAGAAGATTTCATTTTACAGTTGTTAAAAAGTTAGGTCATAGGTGTAAAAGATTTATTCGTAATTCCATGTTATTTGCTATTAAAAATTAAAGCTGAAATTGAATCAGTCTGCTAAACAAGCCATAAAAAAAAATTAAACAATGTGATTTTCATTAATTATATCGAGTGTGCCCGTGGTAAATTTAAACTCAGCTGAAGAATATATTTCTGAGATAAATTTCTTGCCCTTGAATCCCATTGCCGAAGGTGGGGGGAGGTTCCTGTTTTTTTAGGAATGACAGGCCTCGGATGCAAAGTCGACCCTTGCCCCCCCCCCCCCCCCCCCCCCC